CGAGCAATTTGTGAGCAATTAAGATTTGAGAAGAGGATAGTATTATCTGTTGCTTCATCTGGTATTGCTGCACTGCTCATGGTCGGTGGAAGAACTGCACACTCAAGATTTCACATTCCCCTGGATTGTGATACAAAATCAACTTGCAATATTGAGCAAGGTTCTGAGGTAGCTGAATTGATTCTCAATGCTTCACTTATTATCTGGGATGAGGCACCGATGGCTCATAAACACAACATAGAGGCCCTAGATAGGACATTGAGGGATATTTTCCGAGTTAAGCATGTTGATTCTGAGTTGAAGCCTTTTGGAGGTATGATTATTGTGTTTGGAGGTGATTTCCGACAGACGTTACCTATCATCACGAAGGGTACACGGACTGAAATTGTTAATTCTTCCATAAAGAGATCTTATTTGTGGCGGTCTATGACAGTATTGAAGCTAACCGAGAACATGCGATTAAAATTGCCTCATTCTGAAGCATCGGCCAAGTTAGCAATCTCAAATTTTAGCAAATGGCTTTTGGAAATTGGTGATGGTACAAATAGTAATATTTTTGGAGAATCAATTATCCCGATACCTCTACACATTTGTGTTCCCCGTCGCAGTGATCCAATTCCTGATATTGTTGCTGAAATATATGGTCAGTTACTCTCCACTGAAAATATGTCAACCTATTTGGTTGAGCGAGCTATCTTAGCCCCTCATAATGACACTGTTGCGGCCATTAACAATTATGTATTGGGTCTATTTCCTGGTGAATAAGTTTCTTATTTTAGTTCGGATTCGCTAGAGATTGATGCCAAGAATCAGCATGTTGAAGAAGGGGACTACACAGTTGAATTCTTGAACTCTTTAAAGATTGGGAATTTTCCGGAACATGAGTTGAAATTGAAGTTGGGGTGCCCTGTTATTCTGCTTCGAAATCTGGATCAGAGTACTGGGCTTTGCAATGGAACTCGGATGATCGTTAAGAGATTAGGTAAGTGGTTTATTGAGGTCCAAATTTTGACCGGGACACATGTTGGTGATACAGTTTTCTTACCACGCCTAAGTCTATCGGTCCACTACAAGAGCTTAAATTTCACTATGGTTCGAAGGCAATATCCAATTGCACTGTCATATGCAATGACAATTAACAAGAGTCAAGGTCAAACATTAAATCACGTTGGCATCTGCTTGCAAAGACAAGTATTTTCTCATGGACAGTTGTATGTTGCTATGTCTCGAGTTACGTCGGAAAGGGGACTCAAGATTCTTAGCTGTGACTCTCAAGTTAAACCGGTGAAGACTATGAGTAGTGGTTTATTGATGTATTATGTTTTATTCGATTTGAGGACTAAGACTGTCAAATTTATCGGGTCGTTACAATTTGAATCTTGAGTTCTCAATTTGTCCAAATTATTTTCCTGTTTTTAACAGCCAATTATATGAAATGTGATTTATGCACACTACTTTATATTTAATTGTACCTCAATTTACTCTACCGAAGGGTATGCGAGTGTGACCGTTATATTGCAATACGAAGAAGAACTTCCATAGTCGCAACTGAACTAAACTAAATTAACACCACAACCCAGCCCACAAAACAACCCAAGCATGGTTCAGTTAAATAAAATATAGTTAGAGAGGGAATGCCCAGCCGGATTTGTTGAAACTAAATGGCCAACCTATTCCCATAAAAAAAAGGCCAACCTACACTACCTTGGGCGGATCCTTCTCCACTCCCCCACTCCCCCACCTCCTGTACTGCCCAGTATCCGATTTTTTGGGATCTTCTATGAGGTGAAGGCTGCCGCATTCCAAGCCATTATTTATTTATTAAATACATTCATTATGATTTTCATTTCATGTTAATTAGTGGTGGTGTGGGCCGGGCCGGCCGGGTTGGCGCATCAAATAATAATTAGCAACTTTGAGAGGCAATTTTGGACAAGAATTGTTGACACAGTCGCAATTAGCAATGTTGTTAAAACGGAACCGGACATCGATCCGGATTAGTAAAGGGTTCAAGGTTTATCAAATAACCGGTGGTTAATTGATATTAAAAACCGATCATAAACCGGTGTTGACTTACTTGGTAGACTTAACAATTATTTTTTTTACAATTATTGTTTCACTTATTAGAGATAAAAGAATAAAGTGAGAATTATTAAAACTGAAAAAGCATAATTTGGGCGGCTGCTAGGTCTTTTTTGGGAAAAGTGAACTGATTTTTCTTCTCTTTATATTTTATTCTGTACTTACCTTCTTTTGTTTTTGAATTTTTAATTGCAACAAAATAAAAGGAAGACGCATGTTTGATTTTAAGAAGGTGGGTCGTTCCCCTCAAAAAAAAAAAAAAGGAAGGTGGGTCGTGAGTTCCGTGACACACCCGCCTCTTGAACTCTAAATGGCCAACCTTCTCCAATCCCCCACGAGGCCACAAATCCTTCTCAACTCCCCCACTATCCCACTTTCCACACACACACGTACTCCACTGCATGCGGCCAAGTAAATCACGTGTGTAGAATCACTTTCTCTCCTTTATATAATGGAGATACCACTTTCTCTCATGTTACAATTTCCGTTTACTACTTCCCATACAAAACACTTCGGTTCCATTGACCGTGCGAATTGCATTCAATATGGCGGGCCTGCCTCAATTCAATCAGTAAGTACTGCTCATGCATCCAACAAATACTACATCATGTAATTTGGATTCTTTTTCACTACTTAATGCCAAAACTTACAGTCCAATATATAGGCTTCCCCATGGTTTTATTGCTAATCTGCAATATGATGATGCTCTTGAAATTTGTGAGCGTGCCGACACCATCGATCTCATTATGTTGCAAGTGGATGTCGAAAATCAGGTAACTAAACAAATAAATTTCTTTTTAATCGTACGCCTTTTGTGGCATGCTGCATTTTATCGATTTGCTTTGACAATATTCGTTTCTGTGTTTACATCAGGGCACCTCTTTTTTGTTATCCGGACGTGTAACGAATTTGACGACGTCCTGGTCCCCTGCATCCAGAATCCATTTCGTCCACCTCACAATTGAGGACGAATTCATTGGTGTTGACATCGTCTTCCCGTCATCACAGTTACGAACGATTGTTGAATCTGTATTCAGTCATGCAGATGTTGTCAATGCTGACTATATGGCCCTTCTGAACATGCTCGGAGAACAGACATTTGAAGTCATGGTCACAGTCGGTCCCTGGAACGATGCATTTGGTTATTGTGAACTTGTGTTGGTGAAATTATTTTTGCCTTTGTTGAATTGAGTACCATGTCATGAACAATGAGACAATGTATTGAGTTTTCTTATTTTGGACTTGCATGTTATTTGTCGTAATACTCAACTAGATTAGATTTGTGATTAGTAAAATTTCATGTAAGTATTTTTATTGTGATTAGCTAATCTTCAAATGTATTTTTAACTTATTATGAATGTTCATTCATATTACATGTTCGTCTTCAACGAATTGCAAAATTGCAACAATCTTATGATAATATAAAACAAGACTCATTTCTCGACACTATCATTATAGATATTGTAACTCCATTTCCTTAAACAAATGCGGCCAACGGGCCGGGCTATAGGCTAGTTAATTAAAGGATCATTTACTAACACCGTCTCATTTCACATTTCGCCGACTCAACGGATTCAATTAAAACACCGCGTACCAACGTCTCCCACCTACCCACCCTTTCTCTTGGGAAATTATGCCGGTGGAAGCAGTCATTCTCGTTCAACCGTCTTCAAACTTAAGCTATTGGATTGTGTACTCAATACAATACTGTGAAAATTATGTTGGTTTGTCTATCTACTTAAGATTCCACAATGCCGTAATTTTGAAAGATTATAAAATCATATATCGGAGATTGTACCGAAAAAGTTAGTCACACGGTATTTTGTGTTGAAATCGTGGTTGAATCATTTTATACCATTAAAAACTGCATACTGATTTCGACTAAGATATGAGGGTTTCGAGTCAGATCGTTGGTTAGATTTCACGAACACTGCTCATTTCCAATATTTTAGTTTTTTTTTCTTCAGCTGGCTGCGGAGATAACGAGGTTGAACAAACATGGTGGTGGGATTGGAGAGGACGTCAGGCACTGTAGTGAGATTGAAATGACACCCATAGTAAGATTGGGAGATCGAAATACACGATGAGTACGAGGAAGTTGAAAAAGGAAAAAAAAAAAAAAAAGGAGCTAGGGTTAGAAAACATTAAGCTCGGTAACAACATTGGAGCGACAAAAAAGAAAATAAAAGAGAATAATTAGTAACAAAGTAGTTAAAACGATCTCTACACTAAAATTTCTGCATACAAGTTCGTCACAGTCAATAGCAATAGGAAGAATCAACAATTGGATGCCTAATTCGATCAATTTACAATCCTAGCTATCTAGGATAGGAATTAAGTTAGGCCTTCCTGCCCGGTAAACATTCAATCTCCTCACATGTACAAACTCATGTTATAGTCAAAGTATCACAATTAATTATTAGGAGCTGATCTACAACCAGATTGAAACCATAAATTCGACCCCAAAATTATGACGATGAGGAGTGGCCAATCTGGCACAGCACAGAAGTTTCAAACCCGCAATAAATTTAAAACCATTTTAAAATAATAATTCATAGTGTAGAAAAGCAAAAAGCCAAAATTCCAAAATTCCGATTTGACTTGTTTTGTTTAGTAAACTACTATCGTAACTTAACTATTACAGATTTGCAAGCAAAAGAGTCGGTGGATAAAGCCAAATAATTTATTACACGAAACACACACGCCACCACCCTTTTCCCTTTATATTATTATTTTTTTCAGTTTCATAATCTTCTTCAGTGCGAATTCACAAAGCATTGACTTTCTTAATAAAAGTAATATATAAATTGTAATAAAATAAAATAAAATAGCTCAGCTGGGTTTTCCACGACTTCCGCCGCACAAGCAGCTGGCTCCTCCCCTGACCCCTCCACCAAAATTGAATTAAACCAAATTCCCGAAAACTTATAATATTATTAGAATGTTAATGAGATTTCTAAAATAAATAAAAAAGGCAGAAGATGCTGTTGTATTAAGTATTAACTCTATGAATAATGACTCCCCAGATATCAATAATAATAAAATAATAATAATAATACAAGCTAGCTATCTAAGCTAGATGGCATATAATTAACTAATCAACAAATTTTGCTACATACAGCAGTACAAGAGATTTACCCTATGCGGTAACAAAATTACAGTACAAGAAGAGATGTAAGTGGAAAAAAAAAAAGAGTAACTAAAAAACAGGGAAACAGTATTTTCCCCTGCTGGAAATTTGACCGAACAAAATGGCGGATGATAATCAATTGTGAAGCGGGTTCGGGCCCGCCGGCACTGTTCTATATGAAGCTCCGTACACCCTGGCCGGGCCAGCCGCCACGCCCTTGCGATCGCGTGCTCTGGATCCGCGCGGCGCTTCTGCCGGCGGCGGCGGGAAGTAGTATTTAGTAGCGCTCCACGACGGAGAAGAAGAAGACATTTGACGATCTGCTTGCTTGATTTCATCACTGTTAACATCTCTTCTGCTGGAGCGGAGGTGGCGTCGGCTGGTACAGCTGCAGAGGTCCAACGATAGGATTATGAGCAGTAGCAGAATCAATGGCAGCCGCGGCGGCGGATTTGTAATTCTCATGGCTGAATTTTTTTTTTTCCGGCAGATTAAATTCTGGGAGATAGCAGAAAACAGAATTAGAAGCGGGGAGAGGGCAGGGGCAGGTGGTGTTTGGAGTTTGGAGGAGGGCCTCTCTCTCTCTCTGTTGTCTCTTTATTGATGGGATCAAAATGTGGAAGCCTTTTTCTCTCTTGAGCCTGGATTTGTCGACAATGCCCTCGGGGTTTGGTCATATTTGCAAGTGTGGGACTAGGCATCACCGAACTGTACACATGATGATTCTGCTATCATATTCATGAGGTAAGCATTGTAAACTTTTGTAAAAAGACAAATGAATTGGAGAGGAAAGTTCAGCTGTGTACTGAGTTTCCAGTAGCCTTTATAGCTACAAAATCGATTAACAAACATTGCCCAGCTGTCCTTACACGATTGGGTATCAATTTAAATAAACAGTGCAAATTAACGGCTAACAAACTAAACAAAACGCTGCCGTTTGCTTCTCAATTGAACTCCTTCTCCTTACTTCAAACGTCGTTGTTCTTCAGTCCTCAATGCATTAGGATTCCTCAATCTTCAGTCCTCTGCAACTCTTCTCTTCTGCATACTCTGTCCTTCTGCAACTCAATTCTGTCACCCCCCTTCAAGTTGGTTGTGCATCTGCAATCCCCAACTTGCCAAGCAATTCTTTCATTCTGAAGCGGTCTAACCCTTTTGTAAATATGTCTGCCAATTGATCACCTGTATTCACATGCTTCAGTTTGATCAAACCAGTTTTGATCCTTTCCCTTGTGACATGCATATCGATTTCAATATGCTTGGTTCTCTCGTGAAAAACAGGGTTTTCTGCTATATGTATAGCAGACCTGTTATCACAAAACACAGAAATTGGTAAAGACACTTCCACTGTCAACTCAGAGAGCAATCTCTTCAACCACTCAACTTCACAAACCAAGTGTGCAAGTGCCATGTACTCTGCTTCTGATGATGATCTTGACACTGTGGTTTGCTTTTTAGTTTTCCAAGTGAGGAGTGATGGACCAAGAAAGGTGCAATACCCTGTGATTGAACGACGTGTGTCTGGGCAGCTTGCCCAGTCTGAATCACTGAATCCTGTCAATTTTGCTTCTGCTCCATGCCTAAACATAATGCCTTGATCTGGTGCTGTTTTGAGATACCTTAGAACCCTGTAAGCTGCCTGCATATGTTCATTACAGGGGTTCTTCTGGTACTGACACAGTTGCTGGACAGCAAACACTATGTCTGGCCTGGTTATGGTAAGGTAGTGAAGTCTCCCTACCAGTCTTCTGTAGGTCTCCCCATTCTCCATTGGTGTTCCCTTAGAACACAGTTTCACCTTAGGATCAACAGGTGTTTTGCATCCTTTAGCCTCTAGGTAACCTGTGTCTTTTAACAGATCAACACAATATTTCCTTTGACAAATCCTTAAACCTTCCTGATTTCTGCTTACTTCCAGACCAAGAAAGTATTTGAGTGGTCCAAGTAGTTTTACCTTGAATTCCTTGCTCAAAGCAGTTTTGATTTGGTCAAGATCCTTCTGTGAATCACCTCCAATGATTATGTCATCTACATAAACCAGGAGGACTGCAATTCTTCCATGTGGCCACTTGGTAAACAAGGAATAGTCAGATGCTGATTGTGAGAAACCCAGTTTCAATAAGAAGCTGGTTAGTTTAGCAAACCACTGTCTTGAGGCCTGTTTTAGCCCATAAAGGGACTTTTTAAGCCTGCAAGTCATCTTCTGATTTCCTACTGACTCAACCTTCAATCCCAGTGGTATTTTCATGTATACAACCTCTTCCAAATCACCATGCAAGAAGGCATTTGACACATCCAGTTGCTCCATCTTCCAGTTCTTCATATTTGCCACTGCTAGAAAGGTTTTAACTGTGTTTATCTTGGCAACTGGTGAATATGTGTCCAGAAAATCTATGCCATACACTTGTGTGTAGCCCTTGGCTACTAACCTTGCCTTTTCTCTTTCCAAAGATCCATCTGGTTTGAATTTGTATTTGAAAACCCACTTGTTTCCTATCTCCTTCACATTTGGTGGCAAGGGTACCACATCCCAGGTCTGATTCTCATCCAGTGCATACAGTTCTGAATTTATTGCTCTATTCCATGCTTCTGATCTGATTGCTTCATAATAGGACTTAGGCTCCTCATGATTCACAACACTCAGGGAAAATGTTCTATCCACAGGACTCAGACCATCAATATTCAAACAAATTGTATGCTTGCTGCAAACATTGCCCTTACCATATGGTCCAAAGGATATAGAAGGATCCAATTGGTAATCACTGTATTTACTAGGCAGTTTAACAGCTCTCTTGGATTTTCCTTTGTCCTGCAGATACTCGGTGTCATGGTCAACATCTGTTTGTTGGAGTAGTTCCTGATCATCAGACTCAAAGTAGGTATAGTCATCATGAGCCTCTGGTGGTAAATTCACTGGTGAACTGGTGCCAGATTGCTCATGATGAGCTAATTCAACATGATCCTCAGGCTGCCCCCTTCATCTGTGGATGAATGAAACTGAGGAGATAGTGAGGGAGAAGAGAGAGGAACATGTAATGGAGGAGCTGGAATAGGATCTGTATCTGGTGAGAAAAGGGAAGTGGGAGAAGAAGAAGAAGACTGATCAAAGGAGAGAAAAGGGAAAATGGTCTCATAGAAAACCACATCTCTGGAGAGATAGGTTTGTTTGGAGTGAATGTCAAGGACTTTGTAACCTTTTACTCCAGCAGGGAAACCAAGAAACACACACTGTCTTGCCCTGGGAGCAAATTTTGTTCTCCCCTGGGAAAGAGTGTTGGCATAGCACAGGCTGCCAAACACTCTAAGGTGTTTCAAGACAGGTGGTTCATTGTAAAGGACCTCATAAGGGGATCTGTTATTCAAAATGGGAGTGGGAAGTCTGTTGATAAGGTAATCAGCATGTAACACACAGTCACTCCAGTATTCTAAAGGTAGACCAGACTGAAATTTCAGTGACCTAGCCACATTTAGGATGTGCTGGTGTTTCCTTTCCACTCTTCCATTCTGTTCTGGAGTTTCAACACAGGAAACCTGGTGTTCAATTCCTTCAGCAGCAAAGTATGCACACATTTCAAATTCCTTGCCCTGATCACTTCTAATGATCTTAACAGTGGTATTGTATTGATTCTTAACTAAGTTGCAGAAGCCTTGAATGAGACCTCTAACCTCACTCTTCTGTCTCATCAAATAGATCCATACACTTCGAGAATAATCATCCACATCAGTTAAGAAATAACAATAACCATCATAAGAAACAACTGAGAGAGGTCCCCAAATATCCATGTGTAATAAATGAAACTTCTCAGGTGCTGTGTTGGTGCTAATAGGGAAAGGAAGTTTTTTCTGTTTGGAGAAATGACAAACATCACAGTGTGCTAATTTAGACTGAGTTACATTAGGAATAAGATTGGGAAACATAGACAATTTGTCATGACTAGGATGGCCTAATCTCCAATGCCAAAGGTGAATGTCTTGAGGCTGGAAATTGAAGATGGAGGCTGCTTGGTGGATTGGTGTGGAGGAAGGACTTGGAGAAATAATCAGTTGGTAAAGACCTCTAGACTCTTTTGCAAAACAAATCTTCTTCCTGCTTAGAAGGTCCTGAATAAAGCAATGATCATATTGGAAGTGTAAGGACAAAGGCTGATCTTGAGTGAGTTTACTAACTGATATGAGATTGAAAGAGAAACTAGGAACTAGGAGTACATTGTAGAGAGTTAAGCCTGTAGGTAAAACCACTATACCAATACAGGTGACTGGGACTTGTGTCCCATTTGGAAGGAAAACATAGGTTTCAGTGACTGGATGGTATGATTGGAACACAGTCATGGAACATGCTATGTGGTCTGAAGCACCTGTGTCTAAGATCCATAGATTGCTATTACTGGTTTTAGCTACATGGGATGAAGAAATGATGTGTATACCTGAATGGTTAGGGAAAGGTGGTGGATAGTAAGAAGCAGTGAAGGCTTGGTGGTTCACAGAAGGTGAGGAGGGTGGTGAAGGTAGGGTATTAGCACCAACTTGCAGCAAGGACCTGATTCGAGCCATTTCTTCAGGAGTAAAGGTAGATGGACTTTGGCTCATACCTTCTCTAGTTGTGTGCCCTTCAGATTGTGTATCACTTACATTGTTTCCTCCTCCTTGAGCAACTGACCCTGCAAACCTGGGTGTACCAGAACTAGAACTGGAATAACCATCCTTCTGCTGCTGTTCGCCTTGTTTCTTCTTAAGCCACCAACAATCCTCAATGTTGTGATTGGTTCGTTTACAGTACCTGCAGTACTTCTTTCCCTGAGGATTGTCTGTATTCCCCTTGTTGTTAGAACCTGAAGCTGCTAATGCTAGAGTTTGATTCTTCTTTCCTCCTGTAGTTGCATCAGCTTTGAGCTTCTGTTCATGTTGTAAAAGGTCATCAACTGCCTCAGAAACACTAGGTAGTGGCTTCTGCATCAACAGTTGTGTCTTAATCACTTCAAACTCTGGATTGATTCCACGAAGGAACTTGATTAAATAGTCTGTCTCTTGTTTCTGGACAAAGGACTCAACTGCAGCACAGGGCACAGTTGAACCAGGAGCACAGGCACAAGGGACTATTGGGAAAAATTCTGTGTACTCATCCCATATTCCTTTGATTGCTGTATAATACTGGTTAATGGTTCTGGTTCCTTGTTTACAGGCCAGAAGCTCATCCTCCAGGTTTGCAATTCTCATGGCATTTGGTTGTCCAAAACGCCTCTTCAACTCTTCCCAAAGTGTTTTGCAGTTGCTATGATTCAGGACAGCACGTCTCTGCTCCTTAGTCATGGAGTTTTGTATCCAGCACAAAACTACGGTGTTGCAAGCATCCCATATACCAAACAGATCTGACCCAGGTGTGGGTGTTGGGATAGATCCATCCAGAAACCCAAGCTTGTTCTTTGTCTTTAACACCACTTGAATGGATCTTGCCCACATAGTGTAATTAGTTCCATCAAATGGTTCAGCAACCAGTGACTGTGCCATATTCTCATTAGGGTTCAAGTAGTAGGGATTACCAAAAGTGATGGTCTCTGTGACGGGTTGCTGCTGTTGTCCAAAAGATCCAAACTGGAAACGTCCATTGTTGATGTCTCCTGTTGTTCCACTTCCTCCACTGGTAGATCGTTGATTTCCACCTGGTGGCGGCGTATTCTGCTCTCCAGACATTCTTCAAAAATGCAGCCGAAACCCTAGGGTTCGCTGTGCTCTGATACCATGTAAACTTTTGTAAAAAGACAAATGAATTGGAGAGGAAAGCTCAGCTGTGTACTGAGTTTCCAGTAGCCTTTATAGCTACAAAATCGATTAACAAACATTGTCCAGCTGTCCTTACATGATTGGGTATCAATTTAAATAAACAGTGCAAATTAACAGCTAACAAACTAAACAAAACGCTGCCGTTTGCTTCTCAATTGAACTCCTTCTCCTTACTTCAAACGTCGTCGTTCTTCAGTCCTCAATGCATTAGGATTCCTCAATCTTCAGTCCTCTGCAACTCTTCTCTTCTGCATACTCTGTCCTTCTGCAACTCAATTCTGTCAAGCATTGGTATCACCTTTTTTTTTCCTTCGACGGAAGAATCAGCTTCATTCGAACAACCCAAATGAAGTTTACATTAGAATTACTTAGCAGTGTGGCTAGGAAAGATCCAATTATTCGAAAATAGATGATCTAGCTAACCATAATCGTCGATCATCCAGTCCGTTCGAGCAATGAGACATTGAGAGATTGTTTTCTCCATTAGTCTCATGGACCATCAAGTCATTCCAGACAACACACAAGGGACTATAACTTTGAGCTGATTTGAGAGCTCCCCAACCCCAAGTGCCGGTACTTGCTTGACACATTTGAGCAGAGTCGTCCTCATCAAATCTCAGGCGACGAATTTACAAACGTTGTTATAATTTTATTGCCATGTAGAGTGATTTTGTTGGAACGATATTACATCGTCACATAATCTCGCGACTATTAGTTTGCATACGAAGTTACACTCAATTATTTATGTCCAACTATTGACAAATTGTCAAAATACATACTAAACAATCACAAACCTGCAATACCGTATTTCTCACGGGGCAGGTATACAGTTGCCTAACTAAATACGAGGGAGTTGCCAAACAAGCTGCCTAACTTGGCTTCTTGAGTGAGAAAATAAAAGAATCCAGGGAGAGAGAGAGGCCATGCTGCTGCTTATTATTGCTCATAAGCTGATGAATTGTCACATTGGGAAAAGTTGGGCAACCTTTTTCTTATATATGCTGCGGAAAACCACGCACACAAATATAAAGACGGTCAATATAATTAAATAAAAAGCCATCATCGATACAATATTTATATGATATGATGGTATCTCGCTCTCCTCACCAGTTGTCAATTTTCTGGTGGGCTATTTTGTTAGTTAGTTGCACTTTTTGACGATCCTTTTTGAAGAAAGCAAGAGCCTCTCCTCTCCTCTCCTCTCTCCTCGCCTTGTTTTTTTATGCTTCGATTTTCTCAACTTTCTGATGCTCTTGTCCTTGCAGTAAAAAGCTCCAACAGGAGAAGCATCAAATCAATGAATTACGGGCGAAGCATCCATTCCATAACAGCAGCTGGGAATTGACTTTTTGGGGCTCTGTTACTTCAATTCTCTCCAAGGGTTGAAAGGTGATGACAATAGTAAAGGTAAATTTTTAGTATAAATTACTTCTAAATGTGTAGGGTTAGAAAGATCCACCACGGAAAAAGTTTACAAATTCCAACTTACATTCTTATTTAATAAAATTTAGCGTGACGGTGTTCATCCGTACAGAACAAAAGTTGCAAACAATGAACCATGAGAAAATTAAGTGCTAGCGAAGGAGCTATGCACAAGACTTGTTTGTGGGAAGTTGTGAACATATAACATCTGATATATAGTACCTCAGGATCAATATGATTTACTGCTAGCTTGAGCAAACTACCATAAACCACTAATATGCAGTGGTTTCAACGCATAATAATTATTAACCTCCATTTATGTGCTAGTAAAAGACTACAATATATGGTTTCATAAACCGTTACCACCAAAGGCAATGGTTCGATCGAACGGAGGCCTAATAACTCCGGCATCTACCAACTTGTAACCCTTGCTATTCGAATAAGGTTGACACGATGGAGGATTGTGATCAATCTGTTGATTTTCACCTATAAGAGTGATTTGTCTGCCATAGCAATTGTCGTATAGTTTTCCAGTAGGCAGGTGTCCTGCACCCATTGGAGGGGGGCTAGTGCCGGGTGGACTATAAACTTCTCCTCCCCATTCTACGTAGTTTGCAGAATCAGCCAGCCCAGTGAATATCCTTTGTGGCCAAAATCCAACAGGTACATCTTTTCCAATCGCTAAAAACCAGTCCCCATTTGTAGCACGCTTCAGAAAAGAAAAGAAAGAAAGAATAGACAATTATAGTCATCAAACAAGTGATTTGAAGAAATGTACAACTATAAATGTTCATTTTTTGATTAGTTGTTCTTTTACCTTGCGCACAAATAAGTTGGTTTCGTAGGTGGGTCCTCCAATTTTAGAGTATGGTTTGAGAAGCAGATCCACAGGAATGTTAGGACTCAAGATTACGAAGCCAGGGCAGAAGGTGTTGTAACAGTGTGAGTTCTTGGTCTGGATAATATAAGAAACAACCCATTTAGCACTACAATACAATTCAATTTTGTACATTGTTATGGTCATGGTATATGAAAATAAAACGTAGTATGCATGAAGCGTTATCATAAACAATATCGAAACTTACGACAGTGTATATGAAGAGCCGAGTTTCTTTATCGGGGTATAAACTGGGATTAACCTACACATCCAAGAATTTTATTCATAAGTTAGGTGTTACCAATATGTATTCTCATAGGTTAAATACATCTACAAGATGTCAATATATACTTACCGTCCATCCAACGGAAATACTATCAGGACCATTTTGAAATTTTATATGACTGGAACTGTACTGTGTACCCTGCACTGCAGGATGATACACCGAAACTGTCATTCCAGCTCCATAATACTTACTTTGCCCGGTTGTTCTGAGCACTGCAACCTACAAATTAAACACATAATTCTCTTAAACCTTATAATTAAATGTGCAGAATTTGCAATCTTTATGTATTTGTACATGCCCCGTAATCTATGAAACTAACTTACTTCAACACCAGGATTTATATTGAGGGAATTATTATACGCTATTTCACCGGCAACATTTGCTCCGATGAGGTCTTGTTTTGTGATCCTTTTAATTGGAACTGTGTTAGGCGGACATCCTTTCCCATTTAGCCAAATCTTTGATGGATCAAAATCAAATGAAACACCATTTGTCCCTTGCTCTAACCGAAAATCAAAAGAGCTCATCTGCATTGAAGGTCAAATGACTGAATGAGTAATTGTCAATAAATGGTTTATTGGAAGAGATAGATAAATCAAATCTTAATATCACATATCCATTAGAGTTTTTGTACCAGTATTTGTAGATTAGTAGATCACATTCCGTTTGACATTGAAATTTAGATTTCTTATTGTGAGGCTCTCGCCAGTCGTCATTATAAGTATACAATTTGTCTCTTTTATCTTTATATAAATAACTCAAAGAAATAACAAGATTTCTACAAAAAAAAAAAGGAAATAACAAGATAGCATTAATGGATATAACTTGATCATACCTCAAAATCATTCTTATGATTCTTCAATAGAGGATGATCAAAAGCTGGTTGTAAATGAAAGTCTACGCAGTCATATGAATCGCCATACGTCGTCTGATCAAATAAAATAAAAATAAAAAAATTGTAATTGCACAAGTTTTTTCGTCGAGTAATGAGAAATAATCTATTGCAAAACTCATACTTGCAAAACCTACAAAACTCATATTTTATCACCCTAGTAAGATTAATGGTGGGAGGATTCTTACCAATAGTAGTAAGGCACAAAATTTTATAGGTTTTGCAAATTTGTGTTTTGTATCGAAACCCATAGCACGAAAGAATTTTGCCTTTAACTACTTATATTACAATGTATCGATAATTTTTACACACCAATTTTAGCATTATATCGAGTAGATTCTTGCAATTGTCATAATAAAGTTCTCTGTTTACCTGAATAGTTGTGACAGCAGGCTTATTCAAGAGGTTTAACTGTCTTTCCAACTCTTGATCTTCTTCTGCCGATATCTTGTAGCCTGTAATTACATGCTGCTCTAACACCATAAACCATCCCAGCACCAAAATTTTCAAAGCATTTTTTGGGGCCATTATTTTTACCCTTTTTCCTGGTCCTGTACCACAAAGAGTTAGAAACTAACGTTTGACTATATAAGAAGAAGAAATAACATAACAAGAAAATTTGAAAAAAAAAATCTTTGGATGAACTTGAAGACGTGCCTTTCAGATTTTGAAATACCAGAGAATATTGTCTGAACAGCTCCTCTAAATTGGTGAATATATATAGCCACACACAAATTAAGAGACAACGTAATAATTATCGGTTAATATATATTAGTGATACATGGTATGATCAAATATGTATGGGAAATTCTTTCAATCAAAGAAATGTATAAAGAAAATAAGTGCAATTGTTCTTTTCTGATAACCCTTTTTTGTCAGAAGATTATTTGTATTACCAAAACAATGAAATGAATATATGTATATAGCCATACAGCAAATTAAGAGGCAACATAATATTTATTGGTTAATATATATCAGTGATAAATGGTATTGACCAAATATGTAAGGGGAATTCCGTGAACCAAAGGAATATATAAAGAAAATAAGTGCAATTGTTCTTTTCTGATAACGAAGAAAATAATGGCAATGAAATTTACATTTAACGTGGCCATTATAATTTTTTTTTTTTTTTTTTGCATTTAACGCATAGCAATTAGTATTCTAATGAATTATTCCATTTGAACACAATCTAACAATCATGAATCCTCCCATAAGAAGGAAAACGCAACCCAATAGTAGGGGAAAAAATATTTTTGGTATGTTTATGGCCATCCTGACTTAAAAGAAAATGTTCAATTGTTTCTGTCAAAACAACCGATTGGATTGCACACTTACTTTGCTGTAATGGGGCTCTATATTTATCAAGAAAGATAACAGGCGCTTCAATTGGTTCTATAAGTCGACCGAATTTAAGGACATATACCCACCTCAATAAGATTGCTTCACTTTACTATACCAATCGACCGCCTTCTCATATAGATCAACCATTATTATTTTTTTACAATAGTAGAGTCTCGTTACAATACTCAAGCCTTCTAGTGGTGAAATAATTTCAGATCAATAATAAGATAATTGTCAATCAATTGATTGTTCTATTGTAGTGGTCGATTACTATTTTCTTTTGCAACAATAAAATCTTGCAATAAGATAAATGTTTCATCCGCTCCACCGCTTATTAAAAGCAATTCTATCGTTTTTTTCCAACTCAGACTTCAAATGCATGGTAGCAATGAAGTGAGCCCAGCCCATCACTTGGGTTCAGGTTTCACGGTATGGAAGAGTAAACAAAGCCGGATCCTTCTTCCTTCCCTTTCTCCGTCGCTCGTTTCTCTTCCATTCTTCCATATGGGAAAGTAAGGTATTTTGGTAGCTTGTTTATTATGATATAATCCACTTGACTGAAACTTCTTTCCTATTTCAAATCTTTTGTACCGTTGCCGCCTACTGGATTAGATCGTTTCCTTGTTAATTAAACTTTGCCCGCTCCCCCGTTCGTCCTTCACGGTAGATAGAACTGGGTTTGGGATTTTGCTTCATCTGCCGCATTTTCTTTCGTCGATGGCTTTCCTATTTTCTGGACAGAACGAATCCATTATTCGGATTGCGTAGAAACATCAAAGAGCCTCGTTCTGTGCAGACAGTAAAGAGCACAAAGATAGAATTCATTCTTCTTCTGCCTCTTTGTGTCCCCCTTCTTCCGATCTCAGTGCCCAATTTCTCCTCAACTGCGAAAGAATGAAACTTTACCCATTTCTCATTTTCTACTACCATCTGCTGCTTATCTTTCCCCTGCCACCCTCTGCTTTTGCCAATGGCGTTTCCCATCTCTCGAATGCAAACCCACATCCAGATTCCTCCTTCCTTCTATCTCATCATCATTGATTTTCCCATCTACCAAATAAATCTCCAAACCTTGAGAATTAATTCCCCAAAACCCGGTATCAATTTGCAATCACCCCTCTGCCTCGATCGACTCTGTTCACTCTGCTCTAAGCCCCTCTTCCTCCTCTTTCCGTTCTCCGGTTCCCATTTTTTGGCATGTCGGCCGGAGATGCAAATGCAACAATTGGGGCAAACGGGGTGGAACTATCGGGAGTATCCCAGCAGGCGGCGATATTGATCACTGTCTTCGGCGGAATTACTCTAGCTGTCGCCATCGGGGGGTTCTACTGGCTAATCCGCCGTTTCTGCCGCAGCCATCAGCAGGAGCCACAGGGACAGCAGCCTGGGGAAGCAGCAGCTAATGAGGGCATACCCTTAGCAGAGATAAGGCCGCTGCCTGAGTTTCCTCAGCAGAGCTTCACGGAAGCAGCAAGAGAGCTGGACTACTGTGAGCCAGATTGTTCTATATGTTTGGAGAGATTCCAGGAACTAGAGATGGTGTCAATTCTTCCGGACTGCCACCATGTCTACCACCCACATTGTATTCGTGGGTGGATGATCCATGGACCCCGGCAGTCCTCTGCGGACACTACATGTCCGATCTGCAGGCTCACTTACCAGGCTAGGGCGGCAGCCACTGCAGCCAACTGAGCTCGGCCGTGTATTGTTATTATGATTTTTGCTTTGATCTGATGAATGATGAAGTTGTGTATTTTTACAAAACGGAATTTGTTCAAATGGTGTGACTTATGGAAATGGCATGACCTGAAGAGTACATTACAACAGCCACGCTGCATATAGCACAACTAAAGAAATGGTGAGACTTGATGAGTACATTACAACAGCCACATAGCACAACTTCACAATACAATGGGAAGTGGCACCTAAGGACCGAATTCCCCTAAAGATCATCAAATCATAACATTCATGATCAAGAAGTATGCTTTCAGTCTCGTCATCAGCTTTGTGATCTGTCGTTCCCCCTCAGTTTCCATGATCGCAGAGCAAGCTTACTGGACCATATCTGTTCTTGGACCTAGTTCAGGCTGCAGGGTTGGTTGGTTTCCTTAAGCCCTCGTTTCAAGCTTTCGAGCCAACCCTTGAAGCATTTCTCCTTGCGCAACATCCCACAAAGTAAACAGCAGACTGAACCATCCAAAACCAGACAGAATTTTTTAGGACTTGGTGAGCTAGGAAGAAGATGATCGTAAGATGATATGTATAGTTCTTAACTAAGAAGCCAAGTCTTTTTTACCAAAACAACAAACAGGATGAGGTTAAAGATTGCGACCACTCTCCATTCGGTTTTCATGTATTGAGCAACTCCTGCCCTGATAACAAGACAAAAATCAAATAGAGGGGAGGACTGGTGAGAGGCCTGAGAAGATGATAATCTACACGGGGGAGACCTAAACGAAGGAAGCTTGGGAACATTTGGCTGCTTACTTGCACGAATCACAGTTGTAGCATTTGATACCCCTGGTGTTTTTGTAAAGCTTGCAATCCTTGTTGGAGCTTACTGGATGGAAGCTCAAGTCGTAGAAAGAAGCATTGACAGCTGGATAACCACACCTGTTAGGTTGAAAACAGTTAGTCCAGAACTCTTGAGTTATGTAAGAGTAGTGAAATGACTATCGTAAACTTTGACAATGGATAGTGGCGTTGAGTGGAAAACTTTAGTTCAGTCAGTTAATCAGAGGGGAGGGAGTGTCAAAGACACGTACTCAGATGGTGGACGGCAGCAACCAGCCTCGATGGGAGATAACTTAGCTGACTTGTACTGCTTGAGGGTCTGAAATCAACTTCAGTCATAGGTTAAGTAAAACATCCATACTTGTGAACTATAGGAACAGATGGAGTCATCTAAGTTTGAGGACAGAAAAAAAGCACCCTATATTTCCTGGATAGGTGGTTGCAATCGTCGGATTTCACTAGGCAACTCTTCAACCGTTTCCAATGATTTGTGTTGTTCAGCTGGATCAATCAAAGTTTTCATAAGATCAAGAATTCAAGCAGTGTAACCGAGATTAAAGGAGAAAAACAATATGATCTACTTAAAGATGTCTGATATTGTATACCTGTTTAAGAAACCACGGACTGTAATCATGAAGTTGGTATTCTTTGTACCTGTTAGAAATATATATAAAACATCAAGCAGTATGACAGATGAAGAGCCATTTTCACTAATTACTTCATTTTCGGATTATGATTTTACTTGGGCATGGAAATTTTGGCATAACTAAAGTGCCCAAAAAGCTTTGTATGCTTCTTACCTTAATCCAGAGACACTATGCCCAGATCCATTATTTGTTATAATAAACCTGCAAACAAATAATGATACTACTGATCATGAATAGCCAAGAGAATTAGGCAGTTTATACGGTGGGAGTGCATACAGAGTTCAAAGCTATATCGGACCACATTAAGTGCCTATCTCACAAGTCTAATATTTTCCATATTCTTTTAACTTCAGGTAGACACATTGATTTAGCTCATTACAAGACCTTGTACTTGTAGGCAGAGTAGGATGTAAAAATAAGGCTTAAAGAGTACATGAAAATAGTTTAACTGGTTGCGTAGCAGAATTTCAAAGCACCGGTTGGCTTCCATTTGACTGGTACCAACTAACTTCAGTCTTACTAGCAATTGAACGGCAGAAATACGATAGTTCTTTAGAGCGAATCACAAAGTTGCAGTCATAAATCCTCCACTGAAATCAAGTGACATATAGCATAGAAGCTGTGAGATAGCTACAGCCTACAAGTTCGTCAAGTATGCAAAGATCCTTTTAATTTCAATGCCGAGAGTTGCACATAGCTTAAGGCAGTATCAAATATAGAAATTGGTGCTAAGGGTGAATCTAACAGAAGGTCATATACTTACGCCAAGACGGTGAAAACCAGAATCGCCACCAAGATAATGCACAGCAGGATAAGATACTGAGACAAAGGGGGTAAAGGGTACACAATCAATCCATAGCCCCATTGAAAGAAACAAGCGAGTAAAAGTAGCGGAGAAAAAGGATGATGATAGTTGAGGATACAAGCCATAGTAGAATCGAGCTGTTCTTCCAGGCTCCCAAGAATCCGATTATGGAGCTACAAAAAGGAAAGTGTAATGAGAAATAGTACACAGAATTCAAGTAAATTGGGTTGTTTTAGCAGCAAAGTAGAAGTAAGAGCTTACATGAGAAAGATGAAAGCGCCGAGGAATAAGATAGGGAGGGTGAGAGACTTTTTGCAGCTGTCATGATGCGTGCTCATCCAAACCCCATATACAACAATGCCAATGGCTAGCACCTGCAGAAATCATAAAAAGAGAAGGAATTGAAGGAACCCAGAAACGGCATTGCGAAGATATTAACTAAATCAAGTGAAAGCAGCCAACTTTTTCACAAAAAGAAAATCAATCAGAAGAAGAGCAAAAGCAGGAAAAGGAGCGAACTTCATGGAATCAAAACCACATAGTCAAAAGAGAAAGAGAGAAGTAGCAATGCCAGGAATTTATGGTTATAAGAATCAAAGAGCAAAAGGCAGGAAAGAGGCAGGGGAGAAAAATCAATAAAAAACTTCAGCAGTTGCAGAAGGAAAGGAAGGGGCCAGGAGCCAAGAGTGTTAACAGCTGCACTACTTACCATAGTGAGGAAATTCACCCATCGTATCACGAAATTGCTAGTCCCCATCCCCATTTCCCAACTTTCTTCTCCTCTTTCTCTCCCTCAAAACCTAGCTCGGCAAAGAGAGGAGGGAGAGAGAGAGAGAGAGATGGGGAGAGGATTAAAGAAGCAAAGGGCAAAAAGATTTTCTCATTTCCGAGACATAGCGGGCAAGTAACCTAGCTAGAGTCTCCGTAAGCTAAACCAAAAGGACTGGTAGCTTCTGGTATCCAAGGTCTTTTTTACATATTTCCATGCAGTTGCAGCTATTAATGTAAATCCATTTAATTTAAGGCCGTTTTCTGAAGCTTGAGCTGGACACTTTAAACGTAACGGTACGGGGTGGACAACGAAACGGAGGGAGAAGAAACTAGCGGTGGAAGAAGTCATTGGGCATCGAGCAATTAGTCTATTCCACCTGGTTGAAACGGCGCCGTGTCATCCTTTTCAGCGTAATTATGGAAGTCGACGGAGGGTAATCTAGACTACAGAAACACGACAAAGATACAGCAAACCATGGTCCATGTGTTTAGGGTGTTGGAGACACGCCACGATATAGACAACAGACACTGACGCCTTCCTTAAACATAACCTTGCACGTAACACACATCAGAATAATCCATCGTCATCATCATCAGCCAACCATGTTGGTTTCGAAACGGCCCAAAAGGCTTTCTGGCCCGGGCTGGCCCATATTAGTCCATGTGTATGAATATCATCCTCTCCTTTCACTATAAACTCGGCTATTGGCAGTTCATCAATGGCCACCCTGCTTCTCTTCTCCAGCTTTTGATATCTGTCTTTGTTTGTTGTCATCTTAGCCACCAACGGCTTTGGTCAGTGGTGGCTGGAGGCCGAGAGAGGCTTAACTTGGGAGGGAAGTGAATGTACGAATCAATTGCTCAGACTTTGTTGGCGCACGACAGAATTACGGACTTCATTTCTTCTTTATCAAGCAACGATTGAACGATCACCTGACAAATAAGCATTGGATCGCGCGAGATGAATACTAACTAACATTTAGCGAGTTTGCATTGGTAAGGAAAGGTAAGAGGTTTTGGATTGCATTACAACCTCCTGGACTTTGTTTCCGGCTCGTGCTAGTAACTTATATTGATCCTCAAACATGGATGCCATATAAACCTGCACACCACAAGATAAATGGAGTTAGTTCTTACCATTAGTATCCGGATTTGTGGGAAGTTCGAGTTAGATTTCGGTATCAAAGACAGTAGTCATACCTGGAACGTTGGAGCTAAACCTGGACTCAAGAAATAACGACCTTTTGTTACTGACTGGATTCCTTCAGTTTGTTCTAGTTCCTTGATCAGGGACTCTACTTCCACCCACTGTTACAATTCTAAATGAAAGTGAGAAACAAAATGGGACATCGGCAATCCAACGTTTGAAATCAAGGGACAGGAGAAAGACCTCGGTGTCTTCCTCAACTGGTTGTAGACTACCGCTTAAGGGATCTCGATCCCCGATAACAGACTCCCAGGCCTCGGTCAAGGGATCTGGCTGTCAGAGTAAGCAATGCAGTTGCTTCATACATGTATACCAGCAGCCAAGATGGAAAAATGTTGGCAATCAAATCTTAAATATGTTGAGCACAAAGCTTACAGTAATTTCCTTCAGGGACAAGAAGATGCGTTCAAGAGTAAAATCCAACTGATGAACTTTTGCTTCCACGATCTGAGATGAGAAAATATTCGTTCCGGGAAATTGAGATTGAGAGATGTAAAAACTATATCATGCATAACATATAAAGGGAACTCAATTTGTTACGCTGAACAAGATCTGCAATAGTCTCACCCCAATCAAGTAATAAATGGAAATTGGAAGTACCTGACCCAGTTTAAAATATGATGCAGGATCCAAAGTGGCATCCCATGATACTTCAGTCTGATGAATTAGTGCAGGTACACCTTCAACCTACACCCAAAAGTTCCGGTTAACTTTCTGCTGAAAGCATATTTGAGAGAGTTGCCGCATTATATTTGCTCGTCTTCACAAATTAAAATTAAACAGTCTCCTTTGGAATCCAGGACTTGGAGGCTCATATAACACATCTACTAGCTTTGCAAAGCTGGGGAATCACAAAATTGTACTTTACCTCAACAAAAACACCAAAATAGGTGATCTTTTTTATGCATCCCTTCACGACATCGCCAACTTGAAGCTTAGTCTGCAAAACAAGTTAAGTAACAGCTTATTGCAAAGAACTATAAACGTTTTGAATTATAACACCCTTAAAAAAATGCATACTAAGAAAACGAATGTTTCATTTTAGAAAGAGTATCATCATGGCACATGAAAACTGTATGAGAGTATAAGCGAATAATTGTTGAAAATAAAATACAACTTGCCCCTCACCATCAAAGTTCTCTTCTTCTCGGCCAATTCTTCCTTTTCCTTGGGCCTCAAAGAAAATAGGAGTTTTCCAGACTTTTTATTAGCCATTACCACATTTGCTTTAATTTTCTGCAGATAAAGAACTAGTCAAGAACTCAGAAATAGAAGTTCGTGACGACTTCCGACTTTATATGAAGCAGAAAGTTTCAAACCTGACCAACAAATGAGGAGAGGAACTTGAGCTTCTCCTGGTCATAAATCCTTAGAAGATCTTCCAACTTCATATCCGGAGTAATTTCACCTTCAGTTTTCACCTCGATTGCTGGATTTAACTTTCGGTCAAAAGAACGGTTCTGATGCAAGGAATCATAATGTTCAATGATCCCTAAATTTTGTTTGTATGCAGATGGGTCAAGACCCTTCTGTCTCACCCAAGACTCAAAAGCTATAAACTTCCATCTTGCAGCAAGATTGCGATATGGCAAAAATCCCACCAATGACCCAAAAGAGACCTGCAAAATGGGTGATGGAAATCACAACAGTCAAGATACTTGCAAACCAGAGAGTAACTCTTGTAATAGAGGAAATAAGAAGCCCATTCATTCATTCATTCATTCATTGTGACTGTTCCACTAAACTGTACTTACAATGAATCCTCGTGCGCTAGAGCTTATCAACTCCACTTCAGCCCTATCCACTCCCTTAAACAGCTCTTCAGCCCTGGACCAGTCTGCAGCCTATTCCAGGAATCAGGAACACTCTTCAACTTGTATAAAGAATCAGAAATTCTCAAGGAAACAGGTAATCTGACCTCCACAGGTGAAGTAGCTGGGAGATTGTGGATCCCATCACCACGGCTACTGGTTCCAGGATCCAAAGAAACTGTCTGTTCCATGCTATATGTTGATCTTTCTTTCACAGATTGGTCTAATCTATATAATAAAGTACCATACTTGATGAAACTAATTGAAGACAAAAAGCAGGATCCAACCAATTTCAAAAAGCAAGGAACATCTAGTTTCCTGAATGACTCAATGTACCTATTTGGTTTCCCCTGCAGTGATGCGTCGATTAATAAGTTGGACTCCGAATCACTTTTACTTGCATCTGATTGTTGATTAAGAGCATCATATACTAGCTCACTAGATAGATTAATGCTCTCCTGCTGAATCCCTTGAAAAACAACAACAATTTCATTTCCCACACCTAGCAGGAGATAAGTCTTATATGTGATTACAAAGGTAAGTGCAAGGGCTCATCAAACCTAAGTTTCACCATATGAAGGAAGAGATAAAACATAGTTGTTGAATAGAAAAGAGAATGAGAGAAGGAAGATAAACTGGCTTTCCATTCCAAGAAACAACCATGTAACACCTAAAGGTATTCAATTTCCATACAGATCAGTATGTCTATAAAACAGATCAGTTAATTTACCTCTATCAGGTTTATCTTCCACCACACCTTCCTTTTCAAGTGAGCTACTGCCAATTTCTGAAGATTCTTGAACCTCATTTCTCACACTCACAGGCTTCTGCAGCAGAGTGAAACCACTGTAGTCATCCTCCTCATCCATTTCATTCCTCATTGTCAACCTATCACCTCCATAAACTTCACCATCCACATGGGCAGGAGACTCTTGCTTCTTCTCAACACTCATTGCCTCAGGCTTTCTCAAAAGTGTCATATCACTAAATCTCTCTCTTCTCTGCGTGCCCCTCATTTTCAGCATCAAATTAGGTTGAATCATCCTCACCCTAGACTTCAAATCCTTGTCTTCCCCACCATCCTCTGCACCAAATATACAAGGTTTTCTCAAGATAACATCAGGAACCCTATGCTGCTTGACATTGCTGCCAGCAGCCGCATCTTTTACGACCGTACGAATCGGTTTCTTCATCTGTGGCAGCCTTGCAGGTTTACTAACCTCCTCTTGGAACCTCATTCCTTGTTTTAGCACAGGCCTGGTCAAACTCAAACCATCCAACGATGAAGAACTCGTGGAATTCTTCTTCCTTTCACTAGCAATATCAAAAGGAAGTTCCTCTATCTCCACTAGTTTCCCTTTGTTTCTATGAAACTCCTTCTCGACTTCAAGAAACGAAGCATCCGGATTCACCTTTCTAGCCATCATCTATTTCAGTCATACAGCCACAAATGAAGTTCCAGAATCAGAAAAAAGAGCTCGAGAGTTCAATAGATACAAAGGATAACAAAACAGGTCGAACCTTAGCTATGGTGAGCTTAGGGTCTTCGGCGAGATAGCGGCCGAATTTGAGCTCCATTTCGTCCCACTCGTCCAGCTGCGGTTCATTTCCACCTTCTCTGGATGCCGAAACCACAAGTCTAACCCTTCTTCTTCCGGCGGACCTCCGTACTCCCGCTTTGGAACGAGGTAACGAGAACTTCACCCCGGAGAAGGATGAGCAAGCGGGGGAAGAAGACATGGTTGTGGCTGCCGCGGCGGTTATTACGCCGGAATTGGCGAGCGCTAGGGTATCCATTGAAGGGAATTGAGCAGTAATCTCATCGGCCGGAGTGCGACCGCATTTGAAAATTGGGGGAAGGGTATTGTACAGACTACTACAGAGGTTTAAGAGAAAGAAGAAGATAACGGACGCAGGGGGGAAACCTTCAGTTGTCTGGTAATGCATACGTGGCACTTCTAACCAATTACGTATATATTTTACTAGGGTTAATCACTTAATTGCATGGTTGGTCACTGAGATTACAAAAAATGTTCATGTTTGGTCACTGGAAATATTTAAATCCAATCTTGGTCACTCAAATTATTTAAATGGTTCAAGTTTGGTCACTCTCTGTCCATTTCCATTAACTCTAGCTTACGTGGCAGTCAACTTTCATAGTTGACCGTTAAATATGTGACGTGGCAATTAAAAAATTATTAAAAATAAAAAAATTATCTTTTACATTTTCCACCTCAGTGACCACCATGCAATTAACCCTATTTTACTATTTTTAATTTTACGGGATGGAATTTGCAATTGAATTTATGATATTATGATTGTCATCGATGATGCACAAAATTGATGTTACTCCTTGTAATTTATTCATGTTAACAATGTAAACACATTATTAAATTGTTCCAGATGGGTTTGTAGAATTAAATCTTGAAAAAAATAAATTAAATGTTAAAAATGTGGAAAAAAGAAGAGAAAGCTAATATGTTAATGGTATGGAAAATGTACCACGAAAGTTAAATTAGTTTGCTTGTGCAACATTTTGAACATCAACTTAAAATGAAGATATAAAAAAAGTTGTAAATTTAAAAAATTCTTTTAGACCTCAACCAATATATCTGATTAGGGTCCTTGAAGCATAGCAATCTTCTAATTATACTGGTGTGCCCCTTTGAGATTGTCACGCTAAACGCTTAAGATCATGCATAATTTACCACAAACTAGTCGAATCAAACCAATTATGCACAATATGGCCTTTCAAATTGAACATACAGTAGACAGTAAACCCAGTGTCTCATTGTGAAGTGATATTCAATCACAAGCTTGGATGCCTCCTCATCCCAAAGAAATTACAGTTTCCCAATGTGATTGATATGGGACTACTTTCCTGTGTTGCTCTGAAGTTTGAACAGAAGATATCAGACAACTTACCAATCACCAGCCACCAATTCTAGAGCATAAATTACAATGCCTTCAAATCCACACAAGAGATGACTATGTGAAGAGAATACTGAATCAGATACCACTCCTCAGGATTCACTTGAGTACGAGTCTGCGTCTGAGCCGGAATCTAAGTTGTATATGCGAATGGATCGGCTGACAGTGACACTGCCCGAGTCTGAGATGTCATAGTTCGAGTCCAGGTCTGAGTCTGACATTAAGTCTGCATCGTCCGAGGGTAGGGCGTTGGAGACTGGCCACCATATGGTTACATTCTGCTGTAGGTTCTTTAGAGCAGAGAAATCACTCAAGCTTGTGCAGCCTCTAATGTTTACGCTTTGCAATTGCTCCAAGCTAGACAGATCCTCCGGCAACCTTTGCAATGATGTGCACCCACTGAAATCAAGGTGTTCCAAGGAACTCAATCCTCCAAGCGGCCCGATCTCCTGCAGGTTTGGAGCATCAGTTACTGTCAATCTATACAACTTTCGAAGCTTCGACAATGGAGGGAGTCTCCTTATTGAGGCCAAGTCAAGCAAAGTCAGTTCATTCAACTCTTCCATAGACTCAATCCAATCTAATACCAACTCTGTATCTACATTATCCTTTCCTCCCGTCCCTGTGATTTTCAACTGCTTCGTCATGGGGAACTTTGACAGATGCAATATCTGGCAGAAGCTCTGTAGGACTGGAGTAGTTCCACTGATGAGTAGATATCGTAAGGAGTTGAGTATTGCTGCTAATTGGCCATCACCGTCGTCATCATATTCAGGGTCCTTGAATGATACTGATGAGAGAAGAGGGCTGATCCCTATGATTAAAGTTGTTAACTTGTTGAAAGATAGGAGAGTTCGAAAGCCAAGGAGACGAGTTAAACTCTCTGCATCATCAATGCTGAGCTTTTGCAACGATCTCAGTCCTCCAAGGCCTTGGATTTCTGCAAGACGAGGGCAGAAGTCGATGTCTAACTCCAACAACTTGCTCAAATACGCCAGACTGGGTAGTCTCTCCAATGCTTTACATCCTGAAAGGCTCAAGCTTGTCAAAGAGAGAAGACTGTCAAGACTTGGGATCTGCTTAAGTGAGGGACATAAGGAGATTTTAAATTGAGTTAAGTTCTCCAGATTCTCTAGACTTGGGAGCCACACCAGTTTTGGACAAGAATAAATGACGAGGCTAGTGAGAGATGATGGAAGCAACAGCAAAGGAGTTGGACTGGTAGTAATTGAGGTAGTCATCTTTGAGTTAGAGAGTGATAGGGACTTCAATTTGGATATCTTCCACCACATACTACTGTCTGCTGTCGGGATCTCAAGTCCAGAATCACAATCTCGAACGGCTAGATTCTCCAACTCCGACAGCTCTGGAAGGTTAGCAACTGGAGATGAAGTCTCTAGCACTTTCAAACTTGTGGGAAGCTTAATCCCCAACAGCAAGTTGGTTTCACATGATACCATCAAGATTTCAAGAGACCGCAGTTCTCCAATATCTCTGAGCACTTGTCTCAGATTCTTCTCACAACAGAACTCGCTGAAGTCAAGCTCTCGAAGCCCCTTCATCATCCCAATGGTTCCACCCCTTATCTCACTTATATCACAACCCTCCAGGCGCAACACCTTTAGGTTCCTCAAATTCCCAATATCCAGGTACCCAGATTCACCACTGAATTGAGAAACACTTAACACCTCCAGCCTTCCAGATTGTGGAAACTGGGGCAATTTGGTTAGGCTATCCCCCAAGAACTCCAAAACTTTCAGCTTGTTTGACACCTGCATGTTCAAGAAGTAATTTCAAATCCTGGTCTCAGTTTTCTATGCTTCTGTTAGTAGTAGTAGTAGTAGTAGTAGAATTAATTACCTTGATATGGCTCCAACCTTCCCAACTTTCATCTACTGGTTGTAAGAGTTGAAGAATCACCAGATTCTTCATACCTATATTATCCAAACCATAACCATCCATGAGCTCCAATCGCAGCCATCTTAAATTCGGAAGATGATTACTAATGTCGCAAGCGAGCTTGGCAGCTCTGACCTCAAGATATCTTAGCTCTGATAAATTCATAAAGCAATCCTTTTCGAGCTCCTCCTCCACAACATCATTATCTTCATTATCATCATCATCATTGAATGATAAGTTTACTCTAATGGCCTCCACTCGGTCTGTTCCCTGTAACATCAATTGAACAACCCATTAACTATTTATTGACTACTAAGACAACATGTGTTTAGCATGTACGAATACGTAAAGCAAAATGGGAAATCTTAACAGTCAGGATCATGTGAAACATACCTTCTTATCGCGTAACATGTCCATTGCCATTTCAGCGGACCATATTCTACTTCTCTTCCAAGGATATTTTATATCTTCTTGCCGTATAATTTCTCTGGCCATATCTCTAAGTTGATCATGCATTTGGAACTTATCATGATCATCCATTTCAATCATACACCTCTGAATAAGAATATTTATGTTGACAATCGGAAACAAGCCACAATCACTCCACATGTAAGAAGCTATCTCCTTCTCAGTTTCAATGAAGAAACAAGCAATGTCCAAGAAAATTTGCTTTGCCTCGTTGTTTAATGTGTCATAGCTTATCTTTAATCTTTCTACAACCTCTTCCTCGGGTACTTCTCTTAGCTGCCTCAATTTCTCTTTCCAAATCCCTTCGTCTTCTTTAAATAAAAGTGATCCCACTAATTTAAGTGTCAAAGGCAGCCCCCCAGCAACAGATACAATATCTTCCGACAAAGTTTCATATAGAGGTGGAGGAGAATCCTTTCTGAAGGAATGCTTGCAGAAAAGCTGAAGGGCGTGAGGCGGACTCATCTTCCGAACACCATAAAGCCTGTCTTGTTCAGTCAAAGTACTCAAGACTTTTATGTTTCTAGAAGTAACAATAAATCTACTTCCCGGAACTAAATCCTCAGTGTCTCCCAAGATGCTGCGAAATTCGAGTTTCTCATCTACATCATCCAGAACTATAAGGACTTTGAAACGATAAACTCTATCTCTTACAATTTTGACTCCTTCACTAGCATTAGCAATGTCACAATCAAATTTTGTTCTCAGGATGCTACTTATTAGATTCTTCTGCAAAATGAGACAACCGTCATTTTGTTGTAGTGTTTCTCGTACGTTTTCCATAAAACAACACCGATCAAAAAGAGCAGATGTTTTGTTATAGACAGCCTTCGCAAGAGTGGTTTTACCAATACCACCAAGACCATGAATCCCAACAATTATCATCCCTCCAGAGTCCAAACTCATTCTCTCTTCTACCTCTTTTATGTGATCATCAATTCCAACCAACTCATCTGTCTCTAATAGATAATTATTCTTGCTCAAATGTGACCATATAACGCCAGTGACAAGATCTGTTATAGCTCCCTGCCTAAAAAGTACGATTATGTAAGTTAGTTCAACCTCATTGGTTCATAACACGGGAAACTCAAAGTTGGTTATCATGAAAGGATTGAATAAGATCAATGAAGTGAGCAATTTCCCAGAACAGGATAAAAAAGAATAGTCAAGAACAGGAAGAAGTAAGGTTTAGTTTGCTTACTCATTATTGCTTTGGATGTGCCATCCTTTCAAAGCTCCAACCTTGTTCATAGCAGCTTTCCAAACTTCTGTGGTCTTTTCTTCAAAATTCATATTGTGTTTTTGAAATGCTTCCTCGTAAGGCCCACTTTGATGTCGTACATCTCTGGGATCAACCATGTAAAAGATGGGGAGTATGATGCACCCCTCGTCTCGCTCCTGACGCTCAACCATTGCAGCAAGCTCTCTGAGGCACCATTTGCTACAAGCATAATTCTCCGAGAAGATGGGAACGTAGATTTTGGATTGTTCAATGGCCTTGACAAGACTGGGCCATATCCCTTCTCCTTTGCGCAGCTCATCGTCGTCCTTGAACGTCCGAATCTTTAAGTTAACCAGAAACCGGTAGAGGATATCGGTGATCTGATAACGAGTGTCTGGACCTCTGAAACTCAAGAACACCTCGTACTCCCCAGAAGGAAGAGGCAGCAAAGTATTCTCAGAATCTGCAGATTCAGAAGCATTAGCAATAGAATCCGGCTGTGTAGAGGCATTATCAACTCTGTTTGATGCATCTGAATTTCTCCTTCCCAACCACAGCTTGTAGAGGAGAATCAGTAGTGGAATGAAAATAACAACAATCGATGTCACAGCCCCCTTTGCGTAATCCATTTCTGCAGAACACATAAGAAAAAGCAATCAACAAGCTTTAAATCATTGACATACTCAACAACTGTCATATACCTTAAAACTTTTGCAGTTTCATGGAGGCATCATAGCAAGCTACATTAAGTTGCATAGTTCACATTCCGAATCGAGAAAAACATAAATGGTGACCGTAAATGGGTCTATTCCAGATCCATTCTTAACATTCCCAAACAACCTCTTTATCTAAGCCATTTCCTCTGTCAGAGTGCCTAATGAAATTATATATAACATCCAATTTTTGGAACGACACACTACAAAGGACTAGCATTCGGAAAATAAGAAACTCTGAGGGGGCAACAGCCAACATGCAAGCCCAGAAAAAGCGAGTTACCCATCAAAAAACAGAGGGGAAAAAACGAATTCCATGAGCGCAAAAATTGAACGAGGAATGAATTCGAGAACCACACAGCAGCGAGACGAAAAGAAAGAGATGTTTATGATCTTACCGGAGTTCTAGTCGATGGCGGCTGCAGGTAGAGAGGAATAGAATGAGGGGTTCTCGCTAGCCACTGCTTCAGCTAAAGTTTGAAATGGAAGAGAAGTGAAAGAAGGGAAGAAGATGGAGGAGGGTGGTGACTGGTGGTATTCATTTTCTTCATATTTTAAACAAAAGTAGAGCGCCTCGGAAGAAAAGAAAGTGACGATGAAGACCGAGACCAAGGTAGGTGGGGAAGGAAACAGAAGGAAACTTGTTGTAAAAACCGAATCAGATCAATGGTTGGACCAATAAAATCGTCAAACCAGTTATTATAGCGGTCCGGTTTATTGTTTGAACGGTTATTGATGGATCAAACGGTTTTTTATAGTTCAAAATAAAATCAGATGAACTACCACGATTTAACTGGTTCACTAGTTCACTATTTTAACCACAAAAATCTTTTAAAAAATATTTTAACATAAACTAAGACCATCATATCATAATTATTAATTTTATATCTTCTTCCTCTTCTCATTTTTTTACCTTGTTGTCGACTTTATGTGGTCCACTATCGATTAGCATCGTAATTTTTAAATAAAAAACTTATGATTTCTTTTGTGAGACAGTTCGAATGATTTATTAGATATTTTGGTGATGATATGAATTTGAAATTGTTTATGATTAATGATTACCTCATACTTAAAATGATTGTAATATACAAGTCTTATATGTTACATATCATAAACGGTTCTATCAGCAGTTATCCAACGGTTTTGTAACGGTTAACCACTGAATCCTGAACAATAAACCACTATTTTTCCGACTCAGCCTCTGATCCGGTTCTGAAAACAGAGGAAGGAATGCTTAAAGGAGGTGGTTTAATTAATCAAGACCATCGCCCATAGATACCAAGTTATTATCCAAAGAAACATATAATAAAATTGATAACAATAATTTAATAGCATTATTTTATTTTTTATGATTATTTAAGGGGTATATCTATTTGAACAAAACGGTCGATCAATTATATAATGCAGTTGATCAAATGATGAAAATGACTTAGTAACTTGGAGAAAAAATCGATAATTTTTAGCAAACGGTAGACCTCTGCTGACAAAAGGTTGACATATTTGGAAACTGGTTGACCTCTTCTAAAAAATGGTAAACCATTTCTGACAAATGGTCAGTTCCTTTCGAAAAACAGTCGACCTCTTATGACAAACGGATGACCGTTGTCGACAATATAGTACTTCGTGTCGGAAAATAATGGACACCAAGAGGCCTACAATACGAAATTGTTTTGTAGTTATATGACATCCTATCACCACATGGTCAAACAAATCTCTATAACTTTTATAAGCATAGACAGAAAGAAATAGCACATTATATAAAAGTTTTGTGATAAAAACATGCAAAAACAAGATGATGAAAGATTTTGGTGAAGATAATATAATTGTATAACAATGATATCTTACTCTTCATAACAACAATAACATGAAAATTGCTCCACCACAAAACAATTATATAATAAAAAACACAAGCAAAAGTATAATTTGAAGAAATATGAATATGTAAGTTAAATATAAGAAACAAATGCTAATTATATTGCCTTCCTCGAAACCTTTGTATCTCACAGTTGATTTTGTGTGTTTATGTGGTCATTCATCACCCATATAAGTGTTGCATTCTTTTGGACCCTTAGGTTTGTTTGTCCAACTCGAACTCAACACAAAACATGTTCTCTCTTGGTTAACATTTTTCATAAGTTCATTGCTTTTTGCAGTACAAGAAAATGAGTCTATAAGTCTATTTGTCATTACAAGTGATTTATGTGTAACGATAGTTCTTCAATGGCACATAATTATTTGTTGTTAATATTGTTGTCGTTAGATCTCTTTAGCGGCAATTTCAACTGTCTGTAAGTTATGAATTCTCGACTGATAGTTTTGTTGTTAATTTCACTTTTGAATTACTATTAAATATACTATAATAATTTAATTAATTTTTCATAGATGAAGGGGGGGGGGGGGGATTTAATGGAAGCTACAACAAAGGTACGTACTGGTCCGATTTTATGGGACCATAAGGATGTGCAACTGGTTTTGTTTCCTTCGAAGAAGTGATGGAACCGTCTCATTTACTTTTATTAAATTTTATTAATGCTTGTACATTGAAACTTCTTGCCCTTTGTGATGCTAAGAAGAGATGATGTCGTACTCTTATTGTCATGGTTGTTACTTTTTACAAAAATTCTTAATTGGTCAAGAGGGATGCTACAGTGAGGAAGTCTTCTCATTCTAGAGCCGGAGCCATTTTATAAGTAGTTCATTTTCTCTTGTCGCCCTTTTATGTCAGTTTTGTGTCTTTTGGAGCTTAAACATAGCACCCACCTATTAGCAAAACATACTCTTTCATCGGGAGTCTGGTTGCATACCGACTATCATTCTTGGCTATTGTCAGTTTTGTAAGTTTGTTTTCCAGGCATGCTCCGGGGTCTTATATCTTGGTTAAAAAAAAAATCTAAGAGACCTACCTGTTGAGAAATTAATTTTCAAATCTTCGGGAGAATATTCATTCGAGAAACTTCTCATGTATGCTTCGAACTTTGTATTCCCTTAAACTTTCTTACAAGCAAGCATACCCATTAAGATTGGACGTCTATAAACAAATACTCTAATTTCACTAGTAATGGTTCATCTAATCGACCTTTTTCTAAAAGTTATGATATCTTGTAAGTCACCATTTGAATTAAGTTTCTCCTTCGACTGAGAAAGTTTCTCTTATAGAAGAATCAGTCTTCATGTCATCCAAAGGTGCCTAGAGGACGGGCCAGACATAGCAGAGCGACGACCCGGGAGCGGATTACCCCCCCCCCCCCCCCCGGCAGGTAGACAGGAGACGACCATCTCAAGGCACATTACGACCTACAGGCTAGACCGACGAGACCTAGGAAGGTAACTAGATTGGGAGTCAGAGAATCCTTAGTACCTGCAGCCTTCTAGACTTCATATTCATCATTTTTGAAAGCGGGGGGGAAGGGATCTCTTTTCTGTAACGGAAAAGGGGAGCAGATTTTACTCGTCACAACCTAATGATACATCCAATACCTATTATCTGTGCTTAGAATGCGTTGCTAGATCTCTGTTCTAGAGAGCAAACTTTACAGGCAAGAACTCACTGAAAAAATGGATGCGAGCGACACAAAACTTACCTTGCTATCCACGAGACGACATTAAGGCTAACAACAACACGATTTGCCCGCAAGGCTGATAAAGTCGGGCTTCAAAAACCCAACCTGATTATTAAACCGCAAAACAAAAAAGTTTGACTTCCACCACATTAAAAAAAGGCACCGGTTTGGGTGTATATCCCATTTATTTGCTTCTGATTCCCAGATGAGGTGTGCGACGAATAAGATGTTTTAGGGCGACATATAGCAATGCCTTTTTTATTTTGTTAATATTTTGAATTATTGAGATCAACTAACTCTTGATATTAAAGGCACCTGATCGAGATAGGTACATAACAATGATTAGGTAGCTAGGGCTACAAAATTAATTATGCTCATCAAGGAAGAAGTTCCCTGAATTTGTACTTTCAATGTTTTTTTTTATAAATTCATTTATGGTACAAACTAAATTTAACTTGTACCGAAAAACACTAATATTTCTAAGCAGGGTAAAATTACTCCAGGCACCATTTTTGTATTAGTGAAGATCAATATTACATGATCATACAAAAAAAATTAACGAGTTGGAAACAAGAAAGTTGTGTTAAATCTCTTTTAAACATAAAAAAAATGAACACCCCAAAGTACAAATCAAGCAATTTGTTAACTCGACAAAGCCCCTGTCTCTCTCTCTCTCTCTCTCTCTCTCTCTGCAATCAAGTTTTCAACTTTCTGCCGTCTACTGCTCCTGAGCAATGGGCTCCTCTTTGACTTCTTCCTCTTCCGCCGGCGGCGCCCTTGGTGTGGCGGACTTCTCGTCGTCGTCTTCCTCTTGGTTGTGAATATCTTCTTCTTCGCCTTCGGATTTGAATTCTTCGACCGCGTGGGCGGCGCTCTTCTTGTTGATGTAGCTGTAAGAGCCCTTCTCCCTGAAGAGCTGCGCGAAGTGGTGCTTGCAGTAGAGCACGCCGTTGAGGGCGGCGTAGGAAGAATGGGTCAGCACGCAGCCGCCGTGGGCGCATCGGAAGCATGTCTTGTGATAGAAATCTCCTTCCATCGAAATCTGCAAATCAACAATTCGTGTCCACAATCCATATTGTCACAAGCTAGTACACCGAATGGGGCTTGCTATTTGCCGCCAACCAAAAAAAAAATATATATATATATACATCTTTGGTTAAGGAGTTTTACAATCTACAACATATCCAACTTTCAGAAAACGTATTGAATCAGAAAAATTCAACGCTCGCCGGAAAAGTCGCCGGAAAATCATCGGGAAAGCCTATCCTCGACATATACTGCGTACACGCATCAATGAATCATCAATAAGCAGGTGCGTAATTTTTTTGTAGTTTCGAACAATTTTTCCGACGATTTGAAACGAACAGACTATGGTCCGAAAAATTCCGGCGGCCGGAACCTGGCCGGGCCGAAAAATTCCGGTGGCCGGAACCTGACCGGGCCAAAAAATTCCGGCGGCCGGAACCAGGCTGAGCCACAAGATATTTTCGGCTCAGCCTGGCTCCGGCCGCCGGAATTTTTCGGCCCGGCCAGGTTCCAGCCACCGGAAATTTTCGGCCCGGCCAGGTTCCGGCCGCCGGAATTTTTCGGCCCACCGTCTGTTTTTGGAATTTTTCGGAAAAATTTGATTTTAGGAGTTGAATTTAGAGTTTAGGAGTTGAATTTAGCGTTTAAGAGTTGAATTTAGCGTGTAAGAGTTGAATTTAGAGTTTAGGAGTTGAATTTAGCGGTTAAGACTTGAAATTATGGTTTAGGTTCACAGGAATATTGATGTATTATATTGTAATTGTAGGAAAAATGTCAGAGTTGTTACCGGCCGATCATGATTACACACAGGAATTTGAGAATGGGATCCATTATGCAAGTGTGAAGTTAGCTGAGTTAGCTGCAAGAACAATCGCTCAGGAGTGTGGGTTCTTTATTGTTAGAGGAGCATGGAAACCGAATACTGCTGGACTACATCCTGTTACTGCCCTCTGTATGTATTGCGACAGAAGTAGTAGGATCGTTAAGTCTTATAAACCAGACCCTACGAAGGAGACGCGTGGGAATATTAGTTCGAAGGGTACTGGTTGCCAGTTTCAGATATGTATAAAGGAAGTATGGCAAAAGGATGGTCCAAACACATGGGTCATAGTGGGAGTGACAAGTCGTGTCTGGCTGCCACCTCTCCACAAAAGCTGAGATCAAAGCCTCGTCAATCGCTATCTTGCGGAACATAGAGTAGATCAGGTGTTGGAGACCTGACTGCGCCACCAGATCCTCCGCCTGAACATGACTAAACACGTAGCTACTCAGATAAGAAACCGCCGATGTACGGCTGTAGCAACTGATGACCCCTCGATCTCCAGCCCCCGTCCAAAGCGCATAGGCAACGTGGCCACGAAAGCTCCGAATGAGGCTAGGATCCGTAGGTCCACCAGGACACTCACCAACAAGCTCCCACGGTGGAGGACCACTCGAACGTCCTCCCCTACTCCGTTCAGTCCCCGAGCTCTCTGTCTCCTGACGAGTAGGTGGTACGAATCGCCCAGCTCGGTCCCTATACATAGCAGGACGTGATGTTGCTGTACAAGACGGCCCTCGTCCATGTCCACGCGTAGGTGGAGGGACCTCGATATCCTCATCATTATCGTCCTCATCAAAATCAGCCGAGACCACTCTCGATGGAGCACCCTGGTTCCTCCCATTAACTAATTCTAAGTAATTAAACTTTCAAACGCCTATTACAAAAAAAACATTTATACACCAACTTAAATAAATATTAACACTAATTGCTAATTAATTATCATATTAAATTAAATTAAATACAAAAACTGGCCGGGCTGAAAGAATTTTGCGGCCGGTGCGTCGGCCGGCCAAAAAAAATTTGTGGCCGGAGTGACGTCGGGCCGAAAAAATTTTGCGGCCGGTGCGCCGCCGGGCCAAAAAACATTTGCGGCTGGTGCGCCGTCCGGCCGAAAAATTCTTTCGGCCCGGCGACGTTCCTGCCCTCAAATTTTTTTCGGCCGGCCGACGAACACGGCGCCGGAAAATTTTTGGCCGACCGGCAGAAAAAAATTTGCCGAAAAATTCTTTCGGCCCGGCGACGCTCCGGCCGCAAATTTTTTTCGGCGGGCCGACGAACACGCCGTCGGAAAAATTTTGGCCGCCGTGTTCGGCGACCGGCCGAAAAAAATTTGCGGCCGAGGCGTCGCCGGGCCGAAAGAATTTTTCGGCCGTCGTACCGGCCTCAAATTTTTTTCTGCCCGACGTCGCTCCGGCCGCTATTTTTTTTCGGCCCACCGTGTTTTTCGCCGGAAAACTGACCGGAATAAGTCAACTTATTTGTTTTCCGACGATTGAGGGCGACGGGAGGTTAGCCGACGACGGAAGAACGGTGCCGGCAACGGAGGCACTGGGCTCGTCAACAGAAGTTTTTGTTGGAATGAGCCAAATGTTCCTGATATCCGAATTTATAGAATGAAAGGAAGGGAAGGGAGGGAAAATTCAAAATTTGAATTCAAATTTTTTTTTTTTTAGTTGGCGGCAAATAGCAATTTGGTTGGCGGCAAATAGCCGTTCACTTAATTTATTAGAAAAACAGACTTTTGTAACAAATAATCACCGAAATAAATATGGTCGCTAAAACGCTTTGTTAACCACCTGTTTGCTTTTGGCGACAATTCTTTTAGTCGGGAAAAATAACTCTTTTTTATAATAGTTGTATTCCATATCAATTATACGACTAATCTTTGAGAAGGACATTATTATGGGAGATGTAAGAAAGTGGTTAAGTGTTATGGACTCCTTTTGGTTTATAGTATTAGAGTTGGTTTGCCATTTAGGTCACGTATTCAAGTCCCCACGACCTTCAATATTAATCGTTGTCTTAAAGCATATAGCATGGAAATGTCTGTGTAAACTTCAAACCCTTAATTCGGCTTTCCTTTAAAAGGGCATGTAAGAAAGTGGTTAAGTACTATACATACTAGAAGATAGATTAATGGGTGCAAATAGTTTAGGATAATTCTTGTATTTTTCTTTCTTCTTATTGAAAGATTCACGAGTAATTAGATTTAAATCTCGTGGCGAATATATCTTGAGAAGATTCTTCAATGAGATCTAACCGTAAGTATTAATATGACTTTTTCGCTCATATTAAGCTACTAGATGGATCGATATTAGATAAGCTAGTGACTGAAATTAGAAGCAACCTTCTCCAAGGGGTAGACAGTTTTGTGGCAGGTGGCACATTTGTCCTGGGTGCCGGAGAACATGGAAGCAACCTTGTTTGGAGTTGCACCCTGCACAGAGCAATAGTAACCAAATTAAATCATGATTTAGGGACCACTCTAATTCAAAAGGAACAAAATAATCCATAATTAACGACCAAATAAAACAGTTTTTAACTTGTGATTACCTGACCGGTTTTCTTTTCACCAGCTGGATATGATGCATCAAGTTCATGAAGAAAACGCACAATTAGCAAACGGGAGAGCACAAAAAAAACACACACACACACAAACAAGGAAGAAGTACAAGAGGGACAACAAAATCTTTAATTAAGAAAGATCAGAAGTAATAGAGTAAGAAATAATGGAGTACTAGTTACCTGTTTGGAAATTTTTACTGAAACTTCCTGTTTCCTTGAACAATTGCTCAAAATGAGGCTTGCAGTACAGAACTCCATCCATAGATGAGTAGTTTCCCATCTAACCACAAAAGGAAAAAGAATTTTTATGATGTTCAATGTTGTGCAATGGATGTCTAACCAAAACTAGCAATCGGGTTATCTTGCAGACGGGGGAGATGCTAATATCATTGAATTGCAATACACGATCTCAAATGTTAAAATTAAATGTTAATATTACTTACAAATTATATCATCCTGCATGGTCATTTAATAGCCCAGATCACGAGATTATGCGATCCAATTACATTAGGTTGAGGCGTTGATACAAATCCTTATGAAAAGAGAAATCAATACTAAACCATTTTCATACCACAAGTTTCCCATTGCAATGACTGCATTTGAAGCAAGTCTTGTGATAAGAGATCCCATCGGCAGTGATCATGTCGATGAAATGAACGGTCTTGTTGCAGGCCTTGCATTTGTCGGTTGTCCCACTGAAAACCATTTTGATGTTCTTGGAAGAAAACTACAAATTATTTTAACAACAAATAGAGGGACTTCCGATTTCTATCTCAAGCAGATGAGATAGAAGAGAGAACTCCCAACAATATTTGTTGTCTTTTCGTTCTTCTTTTTTATTTATTATTTTCTTTGTACAAAGATTATTTGAGAAGGATGCCAATATTTATTTTGGAAGGGTGAAGGCAAAAGAGAAGTTTGTGGAGTCTTTATGGGGATAGAAGTGATAGGGGACTTTGTGGAAGAAATTTTTGGTATATTTTGGAGTTTCTGAAAATAGGGTTCTATTTTTCTTTTGCCTTAACAAAGATAAGAAATGCAAAATATAGTTTCATTGACCGATTCATTATCTTTAATATAATTTGTGGTTGATTTTCGAATATGTTATATATATGTTCATAGATTTAGTTTGATGTCATTGTACATTTGTAATTGTTTCATGGTGCGAGGACAAATTTATAAGTTAATTAGATAGATCCAAACTAAGAGCTGTTACAACTTTTTTATAGTTGCTTTCTTGTTTATTAGGGCTCTATGAAGATAATTTTGCTTAGCGTTTAATTACCTCCATGGTAAGAGCTGTTACAACATAAAGATCCGTAGAAATTAAGGGCTATATGTATCTCAATTGTTAGTTGCATTTTCTTTGCTACAGCGTATCGAACGAGAAAATTAAGCAAACCCTACGTATAAGAGAGTCAGGGTGGGCTGATGATTAAACCACATCAATAATCAAACCACTAAAATCAGATGTTATCGATCTTCGGTTAATCACTCGTCTAACCCACTAGCAGCACTTAGGGAAAATATTATTGCCGACGATCTATTATGTCATTTGACTGTTGAGTTCTCCCGCTAAAAACAGTTGTTCCTGCCACAACAGTCAACAAGGATATGCTCCAAAGCCATGCTCCTCCTTGCCAGAAGAAACCTAATTCCCCTGAAATCCATCATCTCCAACCCTCTTTCGATCCTCGCCACCCGCTTCCATTCCACCCAACCGAATTCGCTCCAAAATTTCCCTCATGATGAAGAAACCCAAGACCACCAAGTTGAAGAACTTGAACCCATTAGCGTATCAAACACCTCGTACTGGACAAGAAAGATTCACGACCTCTGCAACAAGCACAGGAGGGTCGACGAAGCCCTCCGTATCCTCGAAAGCCTTCGTCTCCGAGGCTTCCAGCCGGATTCTCTCAACCTTAGTAGCATAGTCCATGGGCTTTGTCTGGTCAATCGGTTCAAGGAAGCGCACCACCGGTTTGCTCTGTTCTTGGACTCTGGTTGTATCCCTGATGAGCGCACTTGTAATGTCATTATCGCTAGGTTGCTCGATTCGAGATGCCCAGCTGATAGTTTGAACATTCTGTGGCTTTTGGTTGATGCTAAGCCGGAGTTTGTTCCTTCCTTGGTTAATTACAACCGGCTGATTTATCAATTTTCCGAGGTTTCGCAGCCGGGAGTTGGGCATCGGTTGTTTTTCGATATGGTGAGTAGAGGGCATCGCCCAAATGTGGTTTCTTTCACGACTTTGATTGATGGGTATTGTAAGATTGGGGAAGTTGGTCTTGCGTATAAAGTGTTCGATGAAATGACTGAATATGGCCGGGTGGTGCCTAATTCGCTCACTTACAGTGTGTTGATTCGGGGAGTCTTAAGGAGACGAGAGGTTGAAAAGGGGAAAGAACTAATGAGGTTGCTCTGGACGAGGATGAAGGAGGAAGAGGATCAATCTGTGAATGCAGCTGCTTTTGCGAATTTGATTGATTCTTTCGGTAGAGAAGGGTTTTACAACGAGGTTTTTGACATTGCTGAAGGAATGCCCCAAGGCAAGAGTGTAGATGAAGTTTTTGCTTATGGGCATATGATTGATTCGCTTTGCAGAGTAGGAAGAAGCCATGGTGCTTCAAGGGTTGTTTATATAATGCGAAAGAGAGGATTTGTTCCCAGCCAAGTATCGTATAACTCTATTGTCCACGGACTATGCAAGGAGAGGGGTTGCATGAGGGCATTTCAGCTGTTGAAAGAAGGGGTCGAGTTTGGTTACATGCCATCTGAGTATACTTACAAGGTACTGTTGGAAGGTCTCTGTGAAGAAATTGACATATGCAAAGCGAAAGAAGTTCTAGACATTATGCTGAATAAGCCAGGGGTGGACAAAACTAGAATATATAATATATACTTGAGAGCACTTTGCCAGTTGAATAATCCCACTGAACTCCTGAATGTGGTTGTTACCATGCTACAGATTAATTGTCAACCTGATGTCTTCACTCTTAACACGGTCGTCAATGGACTTTGCAAGGCCCAAAGGCTTGATGAAGCCTTAAAGGTGCTGAACGATATGATATCAGGAAGGTTTTGTGCTCCTGATGTTGTAACCTTCACCACCATCATAAGTGGGCTATTGGCTGCTGGAAGAAACCATGAAGCTCTTCAACTGTTGAATGAAGTAATGCACAGAATTGGTGTTAGACCTAATGTTGTGACATATAATGCAGTTATTCGTGGTCTATTCCGACTCAGGTTGTCAAATGATGCTATGGCTATGTTCGAGCAAATGAAAATTGATCATGTGGATGCAGACAGTACAACTTATAGTATAGTGATTGGTGGGTTGTGCGAGTCGGACCAAATAGAGATGGCCAAGAGTTTCTGGACTGATGTTGTGTGGCCTTCTAAGATTCATGATAATTTTGTTTATGCAGCCATTCTCAAGGGACTTTGTAGGTGTGGCAAATTGAACGAGGCATGTGATTTCCTATATGAATTGGTTGATTTCGGGGTCACTCTGAACACTGTGAGCTACAATATTGTGATTGATGCTGCATGCAAGTTAGGGATGACAAGAGAAGCTTATCAGATGATGAGAGAGATGCGGAAAAATGGGCTGGAACCTGATGCCATAACTTGGCGGATTCTTGACAAATTGCATGTCAGTCTAGAGAATGATTGTGATTTACAATTATCAACTCTTAAATCCTGAGATATATCAAGAGGTTCTGAAGTCATGTGGTTGCTTCAAATGGTCTCGACTCTCAGTTCTTTACATTAAGGACAACTCTTCCAGTCGTCCAAGCTTTTAGAAATTGCTTAGATGCTCTTTCCAAACAGTAGCAAGGGATTTCTGCTATACATTTGCCAGTTCACAAGAACATCTGGATGGCCAGATCCAGCCAGTGACATATTAGTCAATATATTGTGATACTGGGTGCTGAGTTCCGGATTGTATGACAACCTTCTCATCAGCATGCTGCAGCAGAAAGGTACGCCATTAGGGACAGCAATCAGTAGAGATTTTCCTGTAATATGTAGATTTGGATGGCCTTCACGTAGTTGTTGGTCTACACAACGTGAATATCTTGAATCAGGATTCAAATCTAGATTTAGATAGTGACATAGTGTAAGGCACGCTTTCACTCAAAGGAATTGACAAACCAAGAAGTGTTTCCTGTAAGAGAACCTTATTTGTTACATATCTGGTACCAAGTTAAAACAAATCTTCAACTTAAGATCTTAGGTAATGATGGATTGCACATACAAAACACGCCCTCACGCACTCGGCACAAATAGTGTCATGAAACAAATATAACAACTAGAAAAAATATTGAACACAAGCCAAACCGTAAACAAACAACTGGAAAAGAAACAAATAATCTGAGAAGACATCTGGTCTGTATGTTTGTGGATTCCTGATCAGTCTTTAGCATCCTAAGCAACTGAAGAACTTCCTTGGTGTATACCCAGTCGCCCTGTATGTTTTTGCAGTTTCCTCGATCTTCACGTACTCTTCACCTTTAGTTGCTTCAATCACTGCCCTCTTCTCCTCTGCTTCCTTGTGGACTTCAGCTAACTTGTTCTGCATCTTCTCAGCATATTCTGCCTTCTTCTTTTGCAGTTGCTCCTGCGTATTACAAATGGAACATGATGACCTCAAAATTGCATGAAACAAGTAATTCACTGTAAAAAACTGCTGTGAAACAGTAAATCATTACCTCATACTCCTGGAGCTGTGCTTCTACAGCTACTTTCTTTGTATTCTCCCACGATGCAATTGAAGCGAGCCTTTTGTAAGTCCTGGTTAGCAATTGTTTCTTAGTTTAGCTGCTGGAGTCGAATTATAACATAATTCGGTAGTGGCAAAAGAGGGAAATTGCATATGCTTACTTGTTGTCGATTTTAGCCTTCTCATTTTCTTGCCATGCGCAGATCAAAGCATTTCTTTTCTCTGTTTCAACCCTTGCAAGGGCAGCATCTGGAATCAAATGATCAGTTCATCAGAACATTTTCAGCATGGGAAAACAAAGGTAAAAGCCTAAATATCATCACGTACCTCTGTTGATTGGATTGAGTGGAGTCTTTTCAGTTGTGTTTTCTGAAATTGCTGCCTCATCTAGAGAATTTTTAGAAGGTGAGGAACTGAATGAGTCCATTTTAGGCTAAAAGAAGGATCATAGCTGAAAAGTGACAGTAACGTTGGCTGGTGTTTATGGTGACAAATGAGCAGCAGGGGAAATAGAATCTCCTCCATTAGGAAACAAATAAACCCAAATTACTCTGATTCACGTATTTAGTATTAGCTTTAAAACGATTCAAATTCATCCTTGATATGTAACTAAAGTTGGAGATTTCTTTTTTATTGAAGTCGATTAATTTTTTCTCTCCTAAAACTCCCTTCCAGTTAATAAAGAAACTTCCTGCAATCCGAGAAAACACGAACACACAAGTGCAAAGTTGATAACTTTTGAAATCCTTGAAACTCCATAGCCCCTTTTAAGAGGGAAAGCGGCAGACTTTTTTTTACCAACCATGCAGGTTTAGGCAAAAAACAAAGAGTTAAGAGAGAAAATCATGGGCCTAGGGGCATACTTTCAGTTTCAGGTACCGGTTTGGCACTCTTCTTGCTGGACTCGCCATCTTTCTGATGATGATGAACTTCTTTCTCTATCGGGTTCTCAATCTCAGAAGAAGCCTCACCCTTCTTCGCGTCCTCAGGAACACCATTCTGATGATTTTGATGAACTTCTTTCTTTTCCTCAACGACAGGAATCACCTGGCTTTCAGCAGCAGCAGCAGCAGAAACAGCTGGGGCAGGGACAATTTCCAATGATGTCTCAATGGCACTAACTTTTGCTTCTTCTCCCATGATGTTTAATCCCAGGATTAAGAATCTAAGGATACAAGTGGGCAAAAGATGAAGTAGTGATGAATTATGATATATAGGGGAGGGATTGTTGGGTAGGAGGAGAATCCAAGAGTGGCAGCCAGGAGACAGCAAATCTCTCAGGAGAACTAAGAACAGAAGCGTTGGGAATGCCGCAGGATGGTGAGAAGTTAGGTGGAAAACTGTAGCAGAAGTTGAGATATGGACAAAAAAACAGACAACCTTTGTTTCTGTAGACTTTTGTTCTGTTTGAGTACTGTCTTTCGTGAAAGTAATTCAACACCTTTTTTGCTTTGTAAATGGTTCTTGTAGATTATGATTGGATCCTGTTACGATATATTGTCTAAGCATTTCTTGGGGAGGTGGTACTCTTACTATTAATCATCATTCGTCACCCCCCAGCAAATATAGGAAATAACTTTATTGCTAAGTATAATGCAATACTATGGAATCCTTTCCTTTTCCGCCTTCTTTCCTTTCCAAATTTGTTAATCATCCTGCAACAAATATTTCTTTTCCACCTCTTAAATAAGTTGTTACTACTATCCTATGACATTTTATCGTCGTTAAGAGTGGTTAAACTTTCGTTGCGAGCGACTACAGATAGTGGACAAATGGGTGACGAAAAATTGGGATTGTGGGGTAGGCAGGTTGGGAGTTGGGTTTGCAGGTCGAGTCCGAGCTCGAAAAGGTTGGATTTAGTGAAAGTGCAGGGTGGATATGTACGGAGTTGGGTTCGTAGTTTGTGGGTGCTTTCGTAAGGATTGAATCTGGTGAATATTTCTGTATGGTACTTATTGGACTAGTGTAGTATTATTGTGCCTATTTTATAACTTGACTTAGCTCAAGTACCTATTTGACATTTCAACAAATTGTGACAACAACAAAAAAGATTGTTGAAATACTAGTCACTTAGAGCGGTGTTAAAATTGTAAATGAGACCAATTATGTCATAGTTCAAGTGATTAAACTATTGAGCTGGTTTGAACAAGTCTATCTTTTTTAACTCTTTATAGAAGAAAAATGATAAGTTATAAGTATTTATTTTGTTACCGAACTTTGTAGTTTGGTTTTAGTGGCTATTTCGCCATTTGGCCCACTAATTTATTTGTATTGACAAATTCGGCTGATTTGATCCTTTCTTGGAGTAGGGTGCACCGATCAAAATTAGAATGAACCCTGAATTAACAGCCACCGTTGACAGCAAGCAAAGGGTTGTTTGTAGAAAGCCAGTATTTGGTTTCTTGTGAATTTGGAACCACATTTGCGTGGTAACGAATAATAAAATTCTTCCTTGGAAGCATTATGCCAAGTGGACGGGGGAGAGCACAGCAAACATAGTCCTGCTTCTGCTTGCATTCAGGGAAATGAGATGGCAATTTTATTCAACACACAGCAAACCCATGTAATTAGGGTAGGAAGGATTGGGGAATTTGAGAGCAAATGCATTGGCAGCCAATTTCCAATTATTATGCAAACAACCAATTTCCAATTATAAGAGTCTCAACCAGACCAAATGGAGAATGAACAACCAGGTTTTATTCCCCCGCTTTTGTGCGAATAGAAAGTACAAGTTGTTAATTTATGAGAAGGGATAACTTATGGTTATTTGATTTTTTCGTACCAAAAAAATTTCATTGTTTATTACATAATATTTGGAAAGAGACTAACAAAGTTGGGTGAAATAAAGTATGAGCTAATATAAGGCTCTGTTCCATTCTCGTGTCCGTATTCGTTCGACATTTGGTTCCTACTTACACCACATTGATCCAGTTACATGTCGTTTAATTTTCATTTCCCTTTTCACCACATTGATCCAGTTACATGTCGTTTAGTGGAGGTATAACTATATTGTGATCGGTCGTACCATGGTTAACTGAAAATTCATATTAAATTGAAAGCAATGGCCCAGTAGTAAAATATTATATCCACTTCTGATTTCATCAAGCGATGAAACTTGTCTAGTAAGTCACTGCATTATCTTTAAGCCTTTTGAATTAATTTTCCAAACAAATTAAGGTCGCACTCGCACACGATGATCACAATCAAATTTCATATTCATGAAACTGAACAGGTGTCCAACCCCACTAACTATATTTTCAATGTATTCGTATTAGGGAAATGAAACAGCAATATTAAACATAATAAGACACATGATTGATGTTAATTAACTCAATATATGGTAACATCAGTAAATAGAAATTAATATTTGAGGCTGGTCATATATGTTCATCATCGGCCAGCAACGTACGCCACACGTCCACCGTATTTTAGCTGCATGGCGTGTTTAATTTTTCCTGCGTCTTTCCTGACGTAACATAAGATTGAATGCCCGCATCTCATGCGTACGTCTGTAACAGAAACGGTGAAAATTGATACGGTATCGGTATTTCAATACTTAATACCGAATTACATCCTAAAATTAATCTCTATTTCAATTCCTAAATATTTCGGTATCGCAATCGATACTTCGGTATCTCAGTCGGTATTATCGAATAGGAAATTAATTACCACTGCAATTAATAATTAAATATATAAATTAGATTTGATTGTTTAATTTAGACCAAAGAGACTAAGCAAGAGTCTTGAGTTTGTCTAGATCTAGGATATATATGGATAAGGAGAATGGAGGACATGTGACATCTCAAATTCTTGTCATTGGTAATCTTTAATTTGACGAATTGGAGGATCAGATACGACTAATACTAGTGTTTGCTTTTTATGTTATGAAAATAACAAGAGAGTAGGCGAGAGACGAGAGTGACTTAAACTGTAAAGTCAAAATTGAGGTGGATGGAAGCTTCTAAGTTGTGAAAGAGTGAGGAATAACCAAAGGTTGTGTGCTGTATTTAATTTATTTTTAATTTTGTGTATTTCGGTATATACCGATCTCAATCCCGAATACCTAATAACACTCCAAAATGAATCTCAATCCCAATCCCTAAAAAATAAGCCGGTATTCGATAATACTAAATAGTGATAAATTTGGTACGATAATCAGTATATCTCAAATACTAGTACCGAACTTTCAGCTCTGAATGCAGCTAGCGATTGACCGATTACGGTGGCAGATAATGCATATCTATTTCCCTATTCAAAATAAGTTGGATGTTTCTCGTATTTATACCCACACAAGAACATAATAGAATATAAGCACTATACCCATTATCGATCAGATTAATGAAAATATCAAATAAGTTGAGAATAATAATAATAATTTAAAATAAAATACACATGCATGTGTTTAACCAAGTGGGTTTAGGTTTTGGTTGGATAATGAGAAATTCAGCTCATCCATTACCTGTAGTATTTGGAATGAGGATTTAAGTATATTCATTAAAAATCTTTCAAAAACGAATTTTGCTCTATGCAATTAAGTCGGACACTCGAACTCGAATGAGTATCCACGTATATGATTATTTTTGTCATCCTATATATCCCTAACAAAAATTAAAATTAGGCTTACAAACAAAATAGGAAAAGCCCATGAAATCAGCCCAACACACAGTAACCTTGGTACCATGATCCATCTCTTATGAGGTGTAACTGCCGCCCAACAGAAACCCCAGAGCCCATGATCGTGTTTTTTTAATAATAAAGCCCATGATCGTTTATGAAGAGGGTAACAGTTGTTAATCGATTAGTACTATTACTTTTGGTGGGAAAATTAGTTATTTTTAATTTTTCTATTCCCTCTTGGCAATAATTCACAGTATGTTGCTTAATATACAATAGTGAGTACATTTTCTCAGCATTCACAAAGAGATAGAGAGAAAAATCTAAAATCTAAAACCAAAAACCTTTACAAACAATTATATACTAAGACTATTAGTGCTTAGAATGAGAAGGTCCATTGAATGTTGCCAAATATATAACAAAATTGATTATTCAATTTGCTAGTCACCCTTTTAGAAAACAAAGGTGTAAAAGTAGCTAGTGAATTTTTGCTGGCCGGGCACCATCATAGCTTCTGGTAAAAGGCGTGGGGGAAGTGAACAAAGTAACAAATTAGGTATTAACAACATTATCCTTATTATAACAAATCAATTAACATAAAACTGACAATTATTATCGTAATCTCTTTAAGTGCCACCGACCAGGGAGTGGCTTTGTGACTCTTTGACACATGTGTGTATTATACCTAGGGATGACAACTTTGCCCATACTCATGGGTTTCTTACTATCCAACCCAATTGGGTTGGGTATGAAATTCAAATAGATGGATATGGGTAAAGTTTGATGGGTTTGTACCCATACCCATTTACTTTGGGTTGAGTTGGGTTTATATCAAATGGATTTGGGTTTGTACCCATGCCCAAATACAAATTACAGTTTGGTACCCAAACTTAATAGACATGCATATTTAGTACCTAAATTTAATTTTTTTGCATATAAGTCCTCAAAATATCGATGGAAAATTACGTTTTGGTACCTAAACTTTTCAAATTTTGCAAATAGGTCCAATTTTTGCATGTGTAGTTAAAACACCCTCAAGTAAATGGATATCCATATCCAACCCATACCCATTTAGATTATGAAAGCCCCAAACCCAAACTCATCTATAAACCCCCAAATCCATATGCACTTCACCCATACCCAACCCATTATCAATGGGTCTACTTGGGTTTGGGTATAATTACCCATGGGTGGATAATTTGCCATCCTAATTATACCGTCTGCATGTGGTTGAGCATATTATGGAACGGTGGCTAAAAGTTTGATCGAGAAATTTAAACGAGGGCTGAATTGAATTATGATAATTAGAGAGCGAGAACTAAAAACATTATTTACTATTCTAATGTTCACATCTATATAAAATGTACAAGTAATTTTATGTATATTTTAAATTTTTGAGGAGCTACAGACCCTCCTAACTACACCATTATCCTCCTAACTATAGACCCTTCTATCTACAAACCGTACGGGGAATTGCGATCTAGATCGTGTCGTATGGTTTGGTCTGGACCGTGAGACCAGAGATATGGTCTGGTCTGCAGTTTCATCCTTTAGTGTGTGGTTTGAAGTGGTCTGAACTGCGGTCTACAACAGTAAACCGTCACAGACTATAACATATTACCTACTAATTCAGACCAAAATTACACTAAACTAAACCTCCATTTATGTATTTAAAGAACAAAGTTAGTTGATTCTTCATCCATTTGAGAGCCAACGGATTGTAAAATGATCACTTATGTGTTATTTGATTATCAAAGAATCACACAAAATCCAAAAAGATTCATAAATAATATTCACTGACAATGTCTAGAGTATGACTCGATAAAACAAAAAAACACTAGAAAAATTTTAGTCACCTTGCTGAGATAAGAAAAATTATAGAGAGATAAACGATCATCTTAGTGGTTCAAAACGACCTTGTTGTCATCACGAAGGTGATCGACCGTGAAAACCTTCGGATCGCCCGAGAGAGGGAGAGAAGCAGTAGAACAAAGAGAAAGAGGGAAACAAGGCTATTTGATGTGTGTTTTTAATGGATACGAGATAGAGCCGTGGAGACTAGAGAGAGTTTGAAAATTGAAAAAGCCCACCCACATCTATCCTCATATAATTTCTTTTCATTTTAATTACGTTCACTAAATTTGTGTGTCGCTAGCATATTGGCACTAGAATTTTTATTTTTGCAGGTACCGACGAATGGTTGGATGACGGAATAAGAGTGAATATTGTTAACATGGTCTGCCTGGTCTAGATCCTACCGGATCGCACCCTACAGGCGTGGTTTGGTCTGTACCGTATAGTATATGGTTTAGTCCATGGTCTATGTTCTAGTTTCTCAGTCTGAACAACAAACCGTGTCTATGGTCTGGTCTGATTCGGACCGACCGTTTTCCACCTCTATATATTCTAACATAACAAACTCGGTAAATTTAGTTTTATTTACAAAGGAGAATCTTGTATTGCATTCTGATTGATCAATTACATGGAGATATAAAATGAAAACATGCCATCCAGATCAAGAGTAAGCCGTTCGGGAGCATATCGTCGAAAATAAACCATGTTTGAAAAATACAATTAAGAAGAGCGAAAACAAATAGTGAAATGGCGATGGAAAAGACTTGTGAAACAGATTGGTCCAAACCATGGTTGTCATGCCGGTGGCATGCCACCCGCTTGAATCTGGTTCAACCTGTGCCGGTCATGAAACCGGTATGATCGACTTACGCATTCTAAGTTTAATGACATTATTTTAATGAATTTAATGAATAAAAATAATAATTTATTATTCATTTCATGAATATAATAGTTAAAAGTTGATGATATTTGTTGGATTGTAACTAAATTGTCCACAAATATGTTTTATATATGATTAAATACATTGGATATTAATTGTTTTCACATTTTTTTAAACCGACTTGAACCGGCACAAACTAGTTAAACCACCGGTCGTACCATTCCACTTGCCAAACCGGCACAACAGTATAAACCGGTTTGACAACCTTGGTCCAAACTAAAAAGTTAGAGCGAGTCGGGGCAGAAGCAATACTCCAGAGGAAGCAGAAGATATTTTAATTTAGGTTTTTTCTTTTTGAAAAGTGTTTAATTTAGTTGAAGAAACATTACAAATATAACAACTCATCTATTTGGACAACTAGCTAGGTAGGTATATACTATATAACAGAGCGTATAAGAAAATGGCAGGTGTAACTTAACAGTCCTGATAAGTGATAACTATCTAAGATAATCAACTAGCTAGGTAGTTTGTATGAGATGAGGCAATTAGGAATTAATCACATTCGACAGTGGGATGATTATTCTGAATCAAGATGGAGAAGTCCACTTAGATAAAGGAGTACAGTTTTCAGAGATAGATGATCCTATGGTTGTTAACCTGCTCGTTCTTCGGGAGATTATTCTTTGGTGTCTAAGCCAGGGATTTATGAAGACAAGGTTGGAAGGTGATGCAAAAGTGGTCATTGAAAATATCAATCGGGCTGATACCCGGGATAGTCAGAACTCAAATGGGGTCATTCTCCAGGAGGTCATGCATTATTTCGCGATTCACAGTTGGCTTAGTGTGCGATTTGTAGGTCGGCGTAGTACTAGGATAGCCCATTTAATGGCTAGAAAGATCCTTTTATTGTACTCGACTATGAGTTGTTTCTTTGATTTTCTGATCTGATTTAATTCCAAAATGTAACTATTATTCAAATCAATGTGATGTTTGTAAAATAAAAATAAAAAACTCTCTAAGGTTTGGGTCGGTGACTGCCAAGTGCCAAGACCTCCTAAACCAATAAGAATGCCGTTTGGCTGGTGATTTAACTAAAACAATAATCAATATGTGAAGAACACCATGAAAAGGAAAGTTCACATGCTATCCTGCCATCCTTTTATGCTTTTCACGCCATGAAAAACAGGCACCTCGGCATGAGGGAAAAACCATACACGAAATAAAATGTGGCCTGTTTTTGTCCCAAACTTATGGGCTAGAGATGGCTCCCCCGGCGGGCCTAATACTGTCCGCCCATAGTAATAATTGAATCTGTGACCTCCGGCCCGGCCACCCTAAATTTACGTACCCTTTGTCCCCCGTTCCCTTCCTCTCCTCCTATATATATATATACAGGCAGCGCACCCAGTTCCCACACTAGTCTTTCCCAAACCAACATCTTACTCGCTTTGTCATACAGCTGTCATTATATACACATTTGAGGTAGCAGAGTTCTATATATACAGTCTATACATACATGGATGTGTTCATTCCTGAAGAGTATGTGATGCGGAGAAGAAGCGAGAAGAAGAGGCTTGCCGCTGCCACGGCGGGCAGGAGGGAGGAGGAGGAGGAATCTCCGTCATCGTCGTCGTCGTCGAGGAAGATGGAGGATCATTATCTTCATCAGAACAGCAAGGGATCATTGCTAGTTGCTCATCATAGTGGGCTCACTGAAAATGTCATCTTCACCACATGCTTCTCCCCTTAATTATTAATTAATTGTTACTTACTTCCCCACTTCTGCCTAGATAGCTAGCAAGCCCATACAAATATGCTGTATTAATTAATTCCCCTTTCCCCTGCCTCTATATTATATATATATATGTAATACAATATATATAGAAATGTGAGGAAATTGTTTTGGTGCGTTGTTCCACTGCAGAAATTTCTTTTTTCTGCACTGGGCTTCATCTTGTCCATTGTCCTTTTTTTTTTGCTCCAAGTCTGAATAATGTGAAACTTGATGTAGTTTGTTCCGGTAGCAGAAATTGGATAATATTCCTCCCTTTTCACCAAGTGAGAAACATTTTGCCCAGACACAACTAAAGGGCCTGAGATCCAATTGTGATATATAGATACAGGTCCACAATCACTGGGTCTGATGTATTACCCACAAGCCCATCCAAATAACGGCCCTACTCTAAGAGGTAAGAAATGAATTTAAGGTGGGTCTAGCCCATGTTTCACTTTGTCTTCTCGGCTTTCCTTTGCCAGATTTACAAACGAATTTAAAGAGTAAAATCACTTTTAGTTCAACAAAGTCAGGATGGCCGAGTGGTCTAAGGCGCCAGACTCAAGTTCTGGTCTTCGAAAGAGGGCGTGGGTTCAAATCCCACTTCTGACATTTTTTTAGTTTTTCACTTATTTTTTCCACTGGCTCAGGCTGGAACGTGTGGGTTTCTGAAATCCAAACTATGTATCCTTCCATTACCTGATGGGTAAAGGTTGAGGAATATGTATTCGTGGGTGATTGACGGTGCCTGATGAATGGATGGTTTTGTGCATGTCTAAACATGCATTATTCATTTGAACAACATGAGATTAATTGTTTACGAGTGAAGAATAGTGTGATTTGGAAGAGAAATTTGATACATTTATTCGTGGGTGATGACGGTGCCCGATGAATGGATGGTTTTGTGCAGGTCTAGATATGCATGACGACATTCATTTGAACAACATGAGACCAATTGTTCACGAGTGAAGAATAGTGTGATTTGGAAGAGAAACTTGATACATTTTTTCCGAATCGTTTAGATCGTGAAATGTAATGATAAATTTGGATTGAATCGCTCATTTGAAAACTCATACCGTTTGTATTTGTATTTTGTATAGAATCGGATTTGAGATTTCAATCTAAGAAATCAATATTTCCCTCCATCTTTTGTAGAAAAACATCCAACATACAGGAATGAACACCAAAACCCGGAACGCATAACCCCATAAAAAAATCAAGCTCCAATCACCTTCGGCAGACCAATCTCGTCTTCTTCAACTTCATATGCAGAGCTTCCTCCTCTCCAGCTTTGCCTGCTTCCAAGACCCCAACCCAAATCCAAACGAATCCACTGCTCTCTCGCCTCAAAATAGGTCAATAACACAAACCCATTCTATGCAAATTGTTGATGCTAATACTCTAAGTTAATACATATTTTTTTCTCTTTTTCATGGATCAAACTTAAGATAACCAAATAAATAAACTATATAACACCTACATCGATCCAAAGATCATGAAAAGGGAAAATAAAATATTCAAGGAGTTGTCAGAACTCTAATATTATACAATATGCTTAATTCCACTGTTAATATTGTGAATGAAGTAACTCAAACCAATTGTTAACGTCAGGGTCGTGAAAATTCAAACCACGGATTATTTGATCAAAATAGACTCTCATAGTGATGTCAAGAACCATTTGATTCCAATAAATCGAAATTTTTTTTGGAAGAAACAAATAATTAAAAATGTCATAACACTACATTTTACCTGTGATATATTCGAGGGATGGACTACATGTTCTTGAAATGCTTGCCGTCACTAGCATACATATAGTAACAAACTAACAATATGAGACGAACTTGTTTGACTTCATGGCAAGTTCCAATTAACCCTCATCATCAAAAAAACCAACATTCACCCCTCAAATTGAACTGCCAAATTCCAATTCCTCATGTTTCCAACTTGGACCATTCCAATTGTCATTTGCATGTGTTACCTCTTACATTGTCTACGTCCAGTCTCGGCATCAATCAATCTAAGCAGGCAAACCAATAAACCAACAAAAATGTCCGCTATCACGACCGGGTTAATTAGCTTAATTTCTTCGGTGCCACCAATATACAAGTCGAGACGAAATTCAGAAGCCCCCGAATTTCGTTTTGGTCGTCTCATGTCTACCAATATATACGAGTGTTGCTTTCAGTAAACAGAGTTTCCTTCTCTTTAATTCTAATATATTGTACAATTGGAGAGATATATGGAGTGGAGGAGCCAATAGAGCCTGCAGACTGTTGAGAGGCGGCCAATCCGCTCCCAGCAGCTTCAAACGAAATACAATTTTGGACACTTGTAGTGGTGCTAGTTTGTCAATGGAAGACAAGAATTAAAATGGTTTTTTTTCCACAGAAAAGCAATAAAAGTTAAACTAACCAAAAGTTATTGTCTTCATCGATCAAATACCGAGGGGAAAAAAGAAATCTAATTAGCAGTTTAATCTTTTTCGCGAGACATTATTACTGTTAATCTGTTTTGGGTCGAAAAAGATACGATATTTTCCGGATACGTTCGTACATGATTGGCAAATTCTCGCCTTTAAGAATAAGAGCCGAGCAAGGTTATTATTAAAAAAAAAAAAAACTTAAGCCTACAATTGGCATAACCCACCACTTTATTAACTAAGATGTTACATCTTCCTAGTAATCATCTTTGTTAATGATACTTTTTCCATGAATGTTTCTTCCCCTAGACTAATTAATTGCATGGGATATATCATTCATTCATTCATTGATGAAAATGTCTAGATTCACTTCTAATGATCTTTGATCTTAAGTACTAGAGTGCCGTGGTCATTCGTCAGGATACGTGACAAAAAAAAGTAGAATGTGTTAGTAAATGGTATATAAAATTCATAATCGAACATCCCACAACAATTCAAATTATTGAGACTAGTTGGTTCATGACATGGTATCAGAGCCTTCAATGACGAAGAAAGCGTGTGGTGAATTCCAACGACTCCCTCTCTTTCTCTATGCATGCTTCTGATAAGAACCATGATGATAATAATCAACACAAATACGAGAGAAGAGGGACACCGGATTTACGTGGTTTCCTTGACGAGTATCGTCAAGACTAGTCCACGGCACAAGGCAGAGATCGATATTATTCACTGTAGTCGATACATAGGTCAGCCATCACAACTCATATATATACTCAGCTAACCTATAACCCTAACCCCTTCTTACGTCACTTATTGTACAATTACAAATTGATACCTATACTTCTAACACCCTCCCTCAAATTGATGTAGCTGACGCAACATCAATTTGTGTGCTAGAAACCAGTGACGTGAAGTAGACACGGCCTTAGTTAAAAGATCCGATGTTTGGTCTTCTGAAGTGATATAGGTGAGTTCCACAGTTCCTTCGGCTACAAGTTGTCGAACGTAATGAACGTGCACTTCAATATGCTTTGTCCTGTCGTGTAACACCGGATTAGTTGCAATACAGATAGCACTCGTATTGTCAACGTATAGCCGAACTGGATCCTGACAAGTAACCCCGAGCTCCGCTAACAGCCTGCGCAACCACACAATCTCAGAAGACACTTCACTCATGGATCGGTATTCAGCTTCTGTAGATGACTTTGATACCCGATCTTGCTTCTTACACCGCCAAGATATGAATGAATTTCCAATCTTGACGCACCAGCCAGAGGTAGAACGGCGTGTGTCTTGACAACCAGCATAGTCTGCATCTGAATAAGCTTCAAGAATCGAGGCACCTCCAGTTGGAAATAGCAAACCAACCTCCTGAGTGCCACGTAAGTATCTCAATATTCGCTGAACAGCCAACCAGTGAGGTTTGCGCGGTGCCGACATGAATTGACTTACAATCTGTACAGGATAAGATATGTCAGGTCGGGTATGTGTCAGATAGATGAGACTACCCACAATACTCCTATATAGGGAGCCATCCGACAGTAAATCACCCTCCAGCTGCCGTAGTTTGAGATTTTGTTCCATGGGTGTGTTGCAGGGGAGACAATCATCCATCTGAGCTTCCTCGAGCAAGTCAACAATATATTTCCTTTGTCCGACATGAATACCTGCAGTAGACCTATGAATTTCCAAGCCAAGAAAGTAAGAGAGATCCCCAAGTTCTTTAAGATTAAATGCCGAGCGTAGTACCAACAACAATTCCTCAATACCAACACTATCATCTCCTGTCACCACCATGTCATCTACATAGATCAGAAGTGCTGTAATACCTCTACTAGTCGACCGAAGAAAGAGGGATGGATCATTCTCGCTCTGCACCAGACCAGCATGTAAAATGGTAGCATGGAACTTCTCAAACCACGCCCGGGGAGCTTGCTTTAGACCGTACAGAGAGCGGCGTAGACGACAGACCATAGTATCGTCCCCTCGTGTATAGCCCGGTGGTCGTTCCATGTAGATAGTCTCTTTTAAATCCCCATGCAAAAATGCATTTTTCACATCTAACTGCAATAACCGCCATTCCTTCATTGCTGCTACCGCCAGTAAACTCCGTACAGTCTGCATCTTTGCCACCGGTGCAAAGGTTTCTTCATAATCGACACCGTACTCTTGTCGAAACCCTTGAGCTACCAACCTCGCCTTTTCTCTTTCCACCGTACCTTCGGGCAGCATCTTAAGTGTATACACCCACTTACACCCAATGACCGACATGTCAGGTTGGCGCTTAACCAAGTCCCATGTGTGTGATGCTTCAAGAGCATCCTTCTCGACGTCCATTGCCTTCTCCCACCGTTCAATGCCTTTGGCCTGTTTGTATGTTGCTGGGACATAAACAGGAGAGGTAGAGTAAGACACAAAATCATTGTGACGATTTGGTGGTTTACCTCTGGTAATGCGAGTGGAGCGTCGCAAGATTGGCTCCTCATTAGGTTGGGCCGTCTCAAAGGGAATTGGGGATATAGATGACCCAGGAGAAGACAAGTTATTGGACGAAAAGGAAGAGGGTGACGTTGGTGATGAATTTGGTGAGGTCGGTGAACTCTCATCATCCTAGGAGGAGGTAAATACTGGCGAGCTCATCGAAGTTGCCGAAGTGGAGCTGGACGAAGTTGACGAAGTCGTGGAGGACGTGGAACTGGGATTAGGCGAATCCGGATCATTATCCTCGGCCGGATCAGCTGGCGTGTCCATTGTAGCTTCAGCATCAAGAGACCAAGTATCCTTCAAGAAATCTAGTTCCGAACCATCCGGGTAGGTGTTCGACGAGCCATAATATGATTGATGCTCTAGAAATTTAACATGACATGATATACGGACTCGTCTTTTAGCCACATCATAGCATACATAGCCTTTGTGTTTATCGCTGTAACCGATAAATACACACTTGACAGCTTTGGGAGTGAGTTTAGTTCGCTCTCGTCGGGATACCAGCACATAGCATATGCATCCAAACACACGCAACCAGCCATAGTTGGGGAGACAAGAATAAAGAGCTTGATACGGACTATGATGTTGGAGAGTCGATGTAATATGTCTATTGATCAAATAAACAACTGTATGCACTGCTTCAACCCAAATTCCCGATGGCACCTGTGAATGAATTAATATAGCTCGAGTAAGCTCAAGAACATGACGATGCTTTCTTTCGACCAGTCCGTTCTGTTGTGAAACTCCCGGACATGATAGTTGTTGAAGTATGCCACGGTCTCGAAATAGATCCATTAGTGAATTTGACGAGAATTCACCACCTGGATCGGATCGCAAGATCTTAATTACCTTACCAAATTGAGTCGACACCATCTGCACAAATTCACGAGCTACTGTCAACAGTTCCGAATTCTGCCGCAAGAAGTACACCCAGGTAAATCTGGTCGCCTGATCAACAAATAATGCAAAGTAACGGAAACCTAACCGCGATGTCACAGGTGACGGCCCCCATAAGTCAGTGTGAACTAACTCGAAAGGTTCAGTATATACTGTATCACTCGCAGTAAATGATTTCTGTGTAAGCTTAGCTTGCAAACAATGAACACAATCATGTGAATTATTCCCAGAAATAGATCCAGATAACCAATGGTTCTGAAACATAGTACGAAGTCTTGCAGAATTGGGATGACCCAATCTAAAATGCCACAAATCCTAGTTTGATAATTCAGCCGAAAAACCAGAACAAGAAATAACATTTCTACTACTAGAAGCATCTACGAAGCTCTTCACACTAACTCCAACGGTGCTTCCCGACCCAGAACTGCCATCGGCCATTGCTCCTAACTTCGAGATACGATCCAATAGATAGACTCGGCCCTGCTTACTCCCCCGCCCTATCTCCACTCCCGTGTTCTTCTCCTGCACAACACAACCAGCCTCATCAAACATAACTCGGCACCCAGCTTCAGCTAATTGTCCCACCGATACAAGATTGGGAACCAGATTAGGAACATATAATGTATTAGGGAGTGAAATATTGGGCTGGACCACACAACCAGTCCCATGAACTTTCATTCGAGACCCATCAGCAACTTGCAAAGCTAGCGGCGACGGAGAAGAACTAAGCTCGGAGAACAGGTGACGATCACTAGTCATATGGTTATAAGCTGCTGAGTCTACGTGCCAGGTACGAGAAAAGGAGGAAGGCTTACCCGATGCAAAAGCCTCCTTCAAAGCTTCCTGAACCAGCCGGCGCACATCCTCTGGGGACATGCCAGGCGAAGAAGAGGAGTCCATCAAGGCTGCATAGGCATTGCCGGAGGGTCGTGGGCGAGAGCTACCACGATAACGAGAGCTACCAGCGCCATTGCGATTACGGCCGCGTTGTGCCAATGTCGGGTAGTCAGCAATGAGGTGGCCTTCGAGCTTGCAATAGTTGCAAGTATTACGTTTCTTGCAGTGAAACTGGATGTGACCCGGCTCTTTGCAGTAGTGACAGATGATCACACCCGAGGAGGTGCGAGCAAACTGAGGGCGGCCTGGGCGTACAGCAAACGCAACTCCGGGATCAGAGGCATGGATGTCAAGTTTAGCTTGACTCTTCAATCTTGTTTCTTCTAGCTAGAGCTCGGGTAAGACATCCTCAATAGTGGAGACACCACGATGAAGCAGGGAAGCTCTAATTCCCTCGAACTCAGCGCGAAGGTTCATGAGAAAATGCATAATCCTTGAGCTAGCTCGCTCCTGGAGAACCTCCGACGATGCATCCGCGGAGACTAGAGAACTAGTAATCAAATCATGTTCCGTCCACAGCGTCATGGCCTCCTGATAATAGGAACTAATGTCCATCTCCCCTTGTTTCAATGCAGCCAAGTCAAACTCAATATCATACTTACGAGAAGCGCTAGCCTTGGAGTATAATTCTGCCATGTGCTTCCAAATGGCGGCAGCCGTAGGAAGGCCACGCAAACTGAGTGCAATTCCAGGTTCCATCGAGCCCAACAACAAGGACATCACGGTCGCTTTGTTGGCAGCCCAATCCTCACGCTCTTTGACGGCCGCATCCGTCGCAGGTTGAGAAGCAGATCCATCGAGGAATGAAAAAAGTCGGCGTCCTTGTACATGAAGTCGGAATTGGAATTCCCAAAGTGCAAAATTCTTACCGTTAAAACGAACAGCCAGCGCATCAGATTTGGAACCCTCCATGATCACCAAACAAGAGACCTCACAGCCAACAAAAGAAGAACTCCAAAGTACTGCACAACCAACAAAAGAAGGGGCCTAGAAATCCAAGCAAACACCACGCAACCAACAAGAATAGAGTCCCAGAAATACCCAGCAAAAATACCACGTCGCCAACAGGAGGAGAGGCCCAGAAATACCCAGCAAAATATACCCGCCACATAGAAGAACCTCTTCGCACGGACAGAGATACAACCCCGCAATGAAACCCAAGCGCACACACGAATACACGAACGAACTCACGGAGACACGAAACCCAAACCGTCAGGCGCGATCAAGAATCCTGAGGCTCTGATACCATGATAAGAACCATGATGATAATAATCAACACAAATACGAGAGAAGAGGGACACCGGATTTACGTGGTTTCCTTGACGAGTATCGTCAAGACTAGTCCACGGCACAAGGCAGAGATCGATATTATTCACTGTAGTCGATACATAGGTCAGCCATCACAACTCATATATATACTAGGCTAACCTATAACCCTAACCCCTTCTTACGTCACTTATTGTACAATTACAAATTGATACCTATACTTCTAACAGCTTCAATGTGAATAACTAAATGTTTCTAATAATCTAAGTTGTTAGGAGGTTCATGAGGTGACTGAGGTGGACTTGGGATGTGGAATTAATGCCCGTATAGAAGGTCAGTCGCTCAAAAGTAGGGGAGTTCGGCAACTTGGTAATCAGCCCGGAAATAAGTATGCACGCAATCATCATAGGTGTTGGATCGACGACTAATATGGATTATACCATGGTCCTTCCTCTCTGTAATTTTTCTTTTTGTTGTCAAAAAATTATATAGACAACAAAGATACAATGCTCAATGATTTCGGGGTCGTTTGCTTCAAGGATTTGGTACATGGATTTGGTACCAAAAAATCAACTATCAAGGATTTAGGTACAATCCGTTGTTTGCTTGAACCTTTTTTGGAGACCAAATCCGTGGGGCCCACGGATTTTAAGGGTCCAAATCCGTGGACCCCACATACTTATAAATCCCACATGTTGATGTGGGATTTGGAATATGGCATAAATCCTTGATGACATCTTACCCATATACCCTCATGCACTTTTAATATTCCAAGGTTGCCCTCAAATTTAACTATTATATATTATAATTAACAATAAATGAATAATATAAACGTTCAATTAATGTGCAAACATGAGTTAGATTTTTTATATCATTTCTTGTGTTCTAGTTTTCTTTGACCTTTTCATGGAACGTGTAATTCTTTGTTCTCACGATTCTAATATATGTTGTTATATGTTACTTTCGAAAAGGAGGACAAAGAATTGGTAATTGATTATGTTACGTTAAAAGTTAAAACGGAATTTTCTCGTTATTATTATTGTCCTTTTGGCAACATTATGCTTATTAGTATGTATTGTCCTTGTTTTGTGTACATATCATAAACATGTCAAACATATAGAAAATGATAGTAAGGTAAATTTGAAGTTTTGTCCTTGTTTTGTGTACATAACATAAACATGTCAAACATATAGAAAAGGGGAGTAATGTAATTTTTGACTTCAAGTAGTAAATCCCATACCTTTAAATCCATGATAAAAACATCCCAACAAACAAAGGATTGTTACAAATCCAAGATGCCTCAAATCCTTGATAAATCCTTGGGTTCTTAAATTACAAAACCCTCGTTTATAAATCCATGAAGCAAACGACCCCTTCGATTGAAGTCCATCATAAAAATCAAACTCTATTACGTACAAAAATTGCGAACAAATCAAAGGCTCGCGTAACCATCATATGAATTACTATATTGTTTTTCCCTGCCAACAAATCATGCATATACAGAATGTTGTTGCAAAATCTGAGCTGCATCTTCCAATACCGTTCCTCCGCTACTTTCTCGAACCATCTCTGAATTGATACAATTTTGACAGCTCCCGACTCTCTTTGATGCAGTACAAGCCGTAAGAAAGCAACTCATCACATCTCTCAAACCCATTCATAATAATCCCATTGCCCAACAACACATATAACCATCTTCTTTGTCCACCACCGTCTTTCAAAAAAAAAAAAAAAATCTTTGTCCACCACCATCCCTACCGCAGCAGAATGAGATCCAACGCGAACAACCTCTTGCATGTACTTACTTTTTTTATTTTCCAAAATTTTTATTCTACATTTTTAAATAACTAAGCGATAATTTAGCCATTGACTTTAGTATTCTTATTTTAAAGTATATACGTTATCTTCTGTATAAAAAATTAAAGTTACCAATTAACAAAATTCAAACAGTCGGTACTTACTCTCTAGAATTCATGTCAATACATTTGTACCACGATCTATATATATATAAATAAAAGGAAATAGGCATTATAGAAAAAAGCAAAACACGAAACATATTTTGCGTGTGCATGTAAACTTACAAGTTACAAATAATTATTCCGGATATTGCCGAGAAAATGCTCAAATGATCTCATATTAAAGACCATGGAAACTGAAAAACATAAAATCGAAGCAAGAATAACATATAATTACTGGCCATCGGAAAAACAAAAAATTAATTATTTATAATTAGAGCCAGAAAGAAAAGGTAGAATTGCCTTTGTATCCTTCCGACGACATTAATATATGTATAGTTACCAGTCAGTCCATATACGACCAAGCCAGTCAGGCATAACACATCCCATCCATCTCACACTCCATTAATTAAACCCCCCCTCCGGCCGCCGCGCCGATCACCGGATCACGGCCGCCATTTCTTCTTCCGGGCTCTCAACGGACGACGAGTTGGTACTATTACTCCCACCACCACCACCGCCGCCGCCGCCGCCGCTATTATTATTGTCATCATCGGCGACCAACCCTACGAGGAAGTCAAACACCTCCGTGGCGGCCACAGCAGACGCCACGTCCTCCTTGTGTAGGGTCCGCCTCTTCCCTTGGACGGTGACCATCCAGGAGCGGCGCGTGAGCTCCTCGATGAAGAGCTCGCAGGCCTTGGCGAAAACTATGGGCGCCTCTCCCGATATCATCTTGACGTCGTCGCCGGACTTCTTCATGATCTTCTTGATCCTCGCCAGTGGCAGCGCGTGAGGCCCCGTTCTCCCGCTCAGGCCGCCGGATAGGATCCCGGAGTAAATCCCTGGCTGCCTCATGGTGATGACGATTTGGGTTGGCTTCCTTTTTCGGAAGGGAAGGAATATGAAGTGAGGAGGATGATGAAGTAATAGATGGTGAGGGATAGTAAGTAAGTATATAAAGGATTTGGGGAGGGAGGTTTTGGGGCCGGCCAAGCCTGCTTAATTATTATACGGCCGGCGGGATTGTGTTTTTAATTTGGAAAGTGAAGTCAACAGATTCTTTATTACTCTGTTAAACAAATTCCGATGCATACTTTATTAGCAAAGGGAAACCTTTTTATTTTCAGCTATATGTATATATTTTTTTACAATGAGATGGATCTTTCATTCATACCCAGAAAGCAGATACAAGATTAATACGCCCATCAAACATGAGGTGAAACAAGCTGAAGAATGGTAAGCCAATCAGGAGGTAAAGAGGAAAGATTATAAGAAGTAGGTGTGTTCAAACGGTTTGGTTACCGTGGTAATCGTTTTAACCGGTACTATTTGGATAATTTGGTTTGGTTAATTTGGATAATTAGTTTGGTTTGGTTAAAGTTTTTAGCTTGTTTGGTTTAGGTGGTTTGGTTTGGTTTCAGACACTCCTAACCAGTCAAACCAAATTAACCAGTTAAGTAATTAGTCATATATCTAACATATATTATATACACATAATACTTTGCATAACCACTGAAGAGTTAACGTTCATCCCTTTTAGACTCATAAAATATAAAGCTCAATATTGCTCATATAGTGTATATTTGTATATGTAAAGTCTAGACCACAACATATGGATGCCTAATTTAGATAAATTTCATACATTATGATGAATGAAAACTTGAAAGGAAGGTCATTTCCAGCCTATGATAATTGCTAAGAGACTAAGTCAATTTGCACAAACACAACAATTCATTAACCCATACAATTGTCATAATTTTTTGTTAGGTGAATACTTCTATACTAATCGTAAGATAATTGTCTTAGTTGCATGTATTTTTGTTAAGGGTCAACTATAACTACGCGTTGATTGTTATGTTTTATTCATTATATAAATTGCGAGTTGTTGCATTAACCAGAAAATTTTCATCGTCAATGATAATGTGATTTTATATTGGTTAATCTGGTTAACCAACTAACCAAACCGATTAAACTTTAGTTTGGTTATTTGGTTGTTGTATTAGTTTGGACGGTTTGGTTATGATATTGTATTCCATGGTTAATAGAATTTAGCCTTATTTGGGTTGGTTATAACCATGGTAACCATTTGAACACCCCTAATAAGAACGGGCCACCCAATCCGCTCGGAAGTTGAGATGCTGCGAGAGTCGAGGCGCAACGCCATGCCCAACTCCCCGAATTAATCTTGAGAGAGCGCATTCACTAGCCCCACACAATCAGAACGTACCACACATGGCACATTACATCCTTGAGCAAAAACTTCAAACCTTCCAACAAAGCTTTTGCTTATACTACAACTGGAGACGAACAAAGAAACGAATCACTCCGTCCATCGCAAATCTGCCTGTGGTTGTCGATGATTACAAAATCATAAGCCGCCTATTGAGAATCATATAAGAACGATCCGTCACAGTGTATCTCTAGATTGGAAATACTCGACGGTGAGCAAGGTTGACGATGGAACCCTCTAGGCTGATCCCGAGGCCTCGAAGCAGTGATAGGTTGCATTGAGCAGCTCGACCACTCAACACACTCTCTAACTGGCGAAATGCAAGTACCATATGATGAGAAGAATGATGAAATGCTAACTTGGTATGGATATGGTAAGGGGCCTGAAACTTTTTTTTAAGGGGGTTGTGTACATTAAGCAGCAAATAGGTCAAGTTCAAAGGAGAAGTTAAAATCAGGCATCAAAAGTTAAAACAAGCTATAACAAATAGGCACACTAAAAAAACCAGAATCCAATAGGGCCCAATTGAGAGACCTAAACCAAATTACAGCCCACCCAAACCCTATATAGTATCTATCCCATTGCCCCTCTAAACCCCGCCGCCGCTGGAACTGATGAAGGAAATTTGGTGAAGATTAAATTAAGGATCGTTTGAAGCACATGATTTAACTCGACCCATGATTTAACTCGTGAATTTAGTAAATTCCTTGTTTTTTAGGAAAATTATGTGATTTCAAATCTCTAAAATCTAGAGATATCAAATTCTCATTTTCAGATAGTATATACTTATTGATTTTTTAAAAAAGTTCTCCTAAAAAAAGTTATCTCACGAAAAAACTTTATCAATAAATTCTCAATATTTCTTGAGGCACTCTGATTCAATTGGTTAAGGGAAACCATGTTATTTTATAAAAACATGAAAACTTTAATTCTCAATGAAATTTATCAATCATAGTTACCAAAACAATGAACATTTATAAAAAAAAACAATTTGGAGAGTTAAAATCTTTAGGTTTAGAATTTATACATTTAGACTCAAATTCTCCAACGACCTCTAAATGATTTATTACTTCTAATAATTATTTTATTTATCGCGCATTTTAACAATATTTTGATGTTCGACATTCATGATCTATTTTCACTCGATCAGTACCTTCATATTCGATACTAGATTTTTCGTTGATGCACTCGTAATCTCAGTGATTCTATATTCTCGCTAAAAAAAATTCCTCGATATAGTGACGAAAAGTACATGTATTGATGTATGTTAAGTAGATGGAAGAGAAGGGAGTTAATCACAATTCAAACAATGAATTAGCTACAAGATTATCAGTTTGAAGCTAATATCACTAGCAGGAGAACCCTAGAGTACCCTACTAATATATAATAGAGAAGTTGATAGAGGATATTTTGTGAGCTCGATTTAATTCGTATATGATATGGGAAACGAAAGGTTCAATGTTTGGGCCCATCATTAACAATGTATATTTAAGGAAATTCGTTGTTGAGCATTGTGTACGTTATTTATTAGCTCTTAATTATTTTCTTATTACATGGTGACGAGATCCATATCAAAGCTTTCTAGAAAGAATTACTTTAAAGTTTTGTGATTCATCGCATACTTAATCTATCTAATGTGGGTTTGTTTTAACATTTTCTTAAATTGAGATTTTTCTGGAAATTAGGGAACTTTTTTTTAAAGTTTGGCAAGAAGTATATTTGGAAAGAGTTTAGAAAAGATAAAGTTAATATAAAGTATGTAATTCTAATTAATAGGAGGGTAGTTTATGAGATGGTGAATAATGTGTATGATAGGAAAATAGTGAATAAAAATTAATAAGCGACTATTAAAGGTATAAATTTAAGATTTTTTTCCTTAACGGACAAAGTTTATGGATTATCATAAATATTGGTATGCATCTTCCATAAAAAAAATCATTGAATTTTTGTTTTAATTAATTGAATCTTGTTTCAGATTCATCGACTCTCTTGTGTTCTTAAATATTTTTTTTTTGTTTGTCAATCAATAAATAATATTTTTTTTTAAGAAAATGTGTAAAAGTATGTTTATTTTTATCAAAACTTAAATTTGAGGAAAAGTTTTAGAAAATAAAAGGAGAAACGAACACACTCGGTGCAAATAAGAGATTCATGTATAGAAAGCCCTCCTAAAATTTAGACCTCAAATCTCTATATCGAAAACGAAAAACAGTGTTAAATAGTTTAGACCGAACTCTTATTTGTTATGCAATCTCTATATCGAACTCTTAAGTATTTAGCTGGGTCAAAAGATAAACTTCTTTTGATGAGGTAAAAGAGACTTGGTTGTTAAGTCATGATGAGGTAACCTCTTATGAGTGCAAATGAGCCGAGTCGAGTTTTACCCCAACTTGAGCTCGGCTCGTTAATAAACGAGTCGAGTTCGAGCTCAACTCGTTTATTAACGAGCCGAGTTGAGTTCGAGCTAGCTTGTTTATTAAAATCTTGACTTTTATTTGGTACTTCATTTTGTCTATCATGATACATATGATTTATTTTGTTAGCTAATCTCATATTATACTTTGTTGGTATCATATATAATTTAGTTAATAAATCTTAACTACAAATCATGTTATTTCATAGCATCGAAGCAATCTATGATGCATAATTTCTTTTTAAAGTAGAAAATAAGATATATTTGATCACATACTCAACGTGTTAAACTTTGTATGTGAGATATATAATTTAACAACCATATGAATTAAAATCATAAGATATAGATTGATTCGTCCATAAGTTGGTAATAGAGTTGGCTCTCTAGCCGGGTTTAGATAGCGTCACAACCCTCATGGGAGTTGTGATTTTCACTTCCTCCTTCGCAACCATTAGATCCACCCTCTCTCTTGGTTTTTCAAATTAACGGTTTAGATTAAATGAAGGATATTTTTGGAAGAGAAAAACTTACCACACAGGATCCTTTCTCATTTTCTATATAATCTGATTTCCAAAAAAAAAAAAAAAACTCTTCCTCTCTCCCCTCTCTCTCTTTCCTCTCCCGAGAACCCTAACTACTCTCTGTCTCTCCCTCCCGTTGTTGTCGCCGCCGCTGCCGCCGCCCCCTCCCGTCGCCACCGTCGTCGTCTTTCCCTCCCGTCGCCACCGCCACCATCTCTCCCTCCCTCCGCAGCCGTCGCGTCCTCCGCCTCCCACCATCGCAGCCCTCTCTCCTCCCTCCAACTCCTGTCACCGCCATCTCTCTCCCGCCGTCCTCCTCAGCCGCCGCCGCTAGGTAACAACCTCTCCCCTTCCTTCTCCTTTCCTCATTCCTTAATTTTTTTCCAGATCTGGAATTTTCTAGATTCCAGATCTTGTTTTTTTTATGTTATTCTCTAGTGGTACTGATTTCTGTCTAGTGGTACGCTACCAGTGGTAGTGGTAGCGTACCAGTACTCAGTGGTAGCGGTACCAGTGAGTAGTGGTACTGATTTCTGTCTAGTGGTACGCCAGTGGTAGTGGTATCGTACTACTATTCACTGGTAGCGGTACCAGTGGTAGTGGTAGCGTACCACTACTCACTGGTAGCGGTACGAGTGGTATTTGTAGCGTACCACTACCACTAGTACGTACCACAACTACTGGTAGCATACCACTAGATGAAAATCAGTACCACTAGCACACTGACGGAGTGGTTTTTTTGCAGTTGGCCGGAGCGAGTCTGATTGGAGGATTTCACCGGAAAAATTCGTCGGCCAGAGAAACTTTGGTGGTCGGAGTGAAGAGGTTGCTGGAAAAGAAAGAGAGAGAGAGATATAAGCGTATTAATTGTAGGATTTGAATTAAAAAAGTATTTAATCTGGGTTTTTAATTCCCAATCTGTAATTAATACAAAAATAAATAAATAATAAATTCTGTTTTTTTTTTCATACCCAAATTGCCCTTGGATGTGAATCTCACATCCCTCTTAGGGGATGTGACCGTATCCCACCCCTCTCTAGCCACATGTTAAGACATATCATGAGCTCTAAATGAGCCAGCTCATGAGTTTAGCTCAACAAGCCACCGAGTCGAGCTTGCTCGCGAGCTTCACGAGCTGAACAAAGGTTAGCTCGTGTTCAACTCGTTTATTAACGAGCCGAGTTTCAAACGAGCTTTTCTCAAATCGAACGTCGAGCCGCTCGCGAGCAGCTCGACTCATTTGCGGTCCTATATTGATTAAAGGTAAAAGTACAAAGACCGCATTTATTCTAATGCGTAACTGATGAGGTAATTTTGAAGACTTTTTATGCGCCACCTTTGTTGACTCCGCCAGCGCATCCAGTAGTAGTTTTCAAGACTTTTTATTACCAAAAATATATGATTAAGTTCAATGGATGTGCATGGCTGATGGTACTACTACTACCAGCTTAACCTGCATTGTTAAAGTAAAATTATAATCCAGTACTTTCTAATTTCTATACAATAATCTTGTAGTATGTCCTTAATATCTTGTAGTATGTGCTTAATTTCTATACAATAATCTCGTAGTATGTGCTTAATATCGATAATAATCTTGTATTTATGAGGCACAATTCAATTTTAACTGACAAAACACGTTTTTGGTTAATAGAGAATGTCTTGAACTATGATGTTGATTAAACGTGTTTAGTGTGAAGCAGTGTAGAGATCTGTTGAGAAGTCACCATGATGTATTTCCTGAGAAAACAATGTGTTGGTAGCAGCGGCGGATCCAGAACATAGTAGAGCACTGGGCCGCATTTGAATTAAATATTAAATATCATAAACAAAAATATACAATAACTATAGTTTTCATTCATTACAATCTCAATTCTTCTAGAAGGTCTTTTAATTTGGAAAATCCATTAATAATAGAATCTCCATCCATACCAATAGCATAGTTTCTCTCATATTTAACAGGGAAGGGTGGACTTTAGTTTAGAGGAGTTTTTTAGGATAAATACTAATTATTACTAAAACATTTTCCGCATATTTAAATATTAACCAAACCTTTGAAAATACTAGTCAAATATTAACTTCCAATTGGCAGTTTTGTTAGTATTATTGACTTGGCAACGTTATACTAACTTGGAAGAGACACATGGAGGCAAACATTCCAAAACTTTCGTATTTTAAATAAGAAAATAGTTAACAAATTATGAACGATAACAGAAAATAGCTAATATTTTGGTGCATTACAAAAAATTTGGCCAATATTTTGTATTTCGAAGGGTTTGGCTAATATTTAAAAATGTAGGAATGGTTTGGCTAATAATTAGTATTTATATTTTTTATTTCAATGAAACTTTGTACCTAGTCATTTACGTTTTGGACTTTTAGATATTTTTTCTAAAATAAAATTATTCGGGCTAGAATTTCTAAACTAAATTTAGAGTAGTGGTTTTGATATGTTTATCTAGACCATTTTCCTACTTACAGAAAATCCTATTATAAAATAACACTCGACCGACTTTTAAATATCATTGGGTCGGTACCGAACTTCGAAAAATTTATAAGCACTGTACTAACTCTGTATCCGGAGGAGGGCTGGGCCGGGGCCCGGGTTGGCCCAGCCCTAGATCCACCGCTGGTTGGTAGACTCAAAGCAGACAATATCTTGGTCGAAAAAGGGTTCAGATGTTACAGCTCGTATCAAAGCCTCTTCGTGTGCGTCCGTCTGAGCGATATTGGGGCAAACCTTAACAAGGACGTTTGAGACTTGAAAGGGATTGTATGTACTATGTAACATCTTACGCATATCCCACGTAGACAAAGCATGACACATCCATTATTCATTAGAAATAATATATCAACATTAACTGACAATACATGTAGCAGATATAAATGATATATTGGGAAGTCATTGTGATGCATCTTAAAAGCAATAACCTGTAGCGTAGACAGAAAACATCCAATATCTACATCGAAAAAGGGTTGGGTTGTTAACGTATGTGTAAATGGCTTTTTTTTAGTAAGATTAGGCAGCGAGCGAGATTAGTTACAATGATGGGTGGTATAAATCTTGATAATACCTCATTACCCATTAAAAAATACAAAATAATTATTCTTTCTTTTTTCTTTTACCCTTTTAAATACCGGTCATCTCAATACCGTTACAAAAAGAAAATGTCACGTTGCCGTTTCTTTGACAAGCCCATCAATTATAGTGTAACTAGAAGGCGCCCGCCGTACGTGAAAGCATCTGCTCATCAGAGCAACAAATATTATAAACAATTTGCAGCGGACAGTAGCAGTTAGCCATTGATTCGAGTCGAGTTCGATTTATTTATATTAATCTTTTTATTAATGAGTTGAGTCAAGTCGAGACAATTTATGAATTAAAATTTTAGCTCGTCATTTGACTCGAATTCAACTCATTTATTCTAAATATAGTCGAACCTTCAAACTAAATTTCACAACAATTTATAAATTGAAGACCATAATATCTGTTTGTTATGTGTTGATACATGTGATTAATTGATACCATGTTTGTTGGTATCTCATTATTTAGTTCATTCTACCAAAAAATGCTATTTAGTACATACATTTTAACTAGTTCATATAATGTAATTTCATTTTTTTTTATAATGGTGAATATTATTAGAGACAAGAAAAAGTTTAACGAAGAAACAAAACTATTCACACGGGTTCAAAAGAAATGAACCGCAACTGCAAGAAAAAGAAACAAGCAGACCAAACTCCAAAGGGGAGGACTGGCTAGAAGGACCAGGCCAACTCACAATGTAATTAAGCAATCTATGATATGCATAATTTATCTTTTAAAATTATAAATGAGATCTAGTTTAACAAATCTATAAATTATCAACAAGCCAACTCATAAGATATAGATCGATTTTCTTATAAGATGGAAGTCGAGTTGGCTCGCCAATTATAATGTTGAGACATCTCATAAGCTCAAAACGAGACAGTTCACGAGTTGACTTCAACAAACCAACAAGTAGAGTGACTCACGAGCATCATAAGATGAACAAAACTAACTCAATCTCAACAGTTAACAAATTAGTCAAATTTTTTCCAAAGTCGAATGCCGAGCCATCAATGAACTACTTACCTGATTAACATCCCTACAACTAGCGTGGTACGTGGCAGTCTCAACAAGCCATGCAGTAGTGTTGTAGCTTTTAATTGGAGTGCCCTTTAATCTAATATCCGGCATTTTCACTCACTCGCGAGTCGCGACAAATAACTACTTTTCTACATATGACTATATGAGAGCTCCACAATCATTAATCTTTGCAAATATTTAATTGTCTAATACTCTAATTAGTTCTAAATTATAGCAGTTTTTGTTATTAATGGGTTTCTAGCTAAGCAGCTTTTGGGCTTTGGCGAAAGCTAGGAGGCAAACCGTTCAACGCGCCGAGTGCAGGAATATGCTGTCGCACTTTTCAAATTGAAAATGAATTAATTTAATCAATTTGCTGTTATAAAAACAATTGCATATGTATCTAATTATTGTTGGAGTTCCTTTCATCTATTTACTAATGCTTGTCTGATTATTAAAACACGGTTTTGTTGAGATTTGGTCTAAAGATAATTTATTGGGCCAGTTAATCGGCAGTATTCCAGCAAATGTCTCAAATACTTGTACAGTGTCATTTGTGTTCGATAGGATTTAAGGGCGGAAATAAACATGAACAAGCCAATCGATGGACTTGTTTGTGTGTGCCATTTGTGGTTTCTAGGCTTAGCAGCCAAAAACAAAACAAAGGAACTCGTCCCTTAATTTTTACTCAGCTGGTGTAATTAAGAAAAATATAATAGAGTTGGTTTTCATATTGAATTTCTCCAACTCAACATTAATGAAAGTAGCATCATGGTGTTATGTTATAATACAAGTTCAGATACAAATTCAATTTGTAGCATAATATAGAAGTTATAAATTCAATTTATATCATATCCTTGATTTGTAAAAATCAACCATCAATCCTATACAGGAATATTGTAAAATTCCTCCAAATCTAATTGTGAGACGATAGAGAAAACAAATGGCATGAAAATAACCAACTCGATTGTTGATCCTTACTGAAGCGTGAGTCTCGAAGAATTTGACCACAACCTCGGCTTTCTTGTTCTAATCTACAATTGTTGGAGCCGCAAATATCTGTTCTCAACTCCTCATCAAAGGTGGTGGTTCTGTTTTAACTCGAACGGTTTTACAAGCTTATCGATTTTCTGTAACGGATAAGCTCTCGACAGTTTTGGCTGAAACCAAAAATTGCTAGTAAATCGATAAGTGTTAACACGATCAGAGGTTCAATTTAAATTTATTTTGACCGAAATCGAAGCGAATTGGACATATGCTTAGTTCGAGTTTTAATTTTACATGTTAGCCGAACCGAACCACCATGCCTAATCCTCGTCATATTTTTTTATAAGTGTCATAGAAATTAGTTTTTATCCTCAATTGTTACTTAATTATCCGGATCTGTGACATCCAGACTGAATAATAGTAATAATATAGAACCACTAGAGGAAGTCCTTATCATAGTTAGTAAAATACGGTACAAAAAAGTTATGTATAAAATATGTACGGGTATCTTACTTTGTCTCTAAGTTAATGATATGTTCAATAGCATGTTGATAGTTAGAAATATATATATAAAATTAATTATTTTAAAAATAAATATATAAATGTCTTATCCCGAAGAAAGAAGCTATAAGTGATATTAGGGATCTTAGACCTATTAGTTTGGTATCAAGCCTATACAAGATTCTTTCAAAGGTGCTTATGGAAAGATTAAAAGTTTTCATGGGAGGCTTGGTGGCGGTGGAACAATGTGCTTTTGTGGGTGGTCGGCAAATCTTAGATGCGATACTTATCGCAAATGAGCTCATTGACTCTAGGAAGCGTGCTCGAAAACCAGGATTAGTTTTCAAATTGGATATAGAGAAGGCATATGATCATGTAAATTGGGAGTGCCTCTTTATTGTTATGAAGACTATGGGTTTCCCCCCACCTTGGATTAGGTGGATTCGGGGGTGCATCACTGCTGCTTCGTTCTCTGTTCTTGTAATGGGGAAGCTTCTGGTTACTTCTCAAGCAAAAGAGGGCTAAGACAAGGAGACTCTCTTTCTCCCTGTCTTTTCATCCTGGTGATGGAGGTTCTCTCAGGTATTCTGAGGACTTTGCAGTCTCGTGGTTTGGTTGAGGGATTCTTTATGAATAAAGAATTGAGAATGGGAGAGGTCACTCATATTCTCTATGCTGATGATACGTTGTTATTTTGTGATGCATCTGAAGACCAAGTTCGTTCTCTTCTCACAGCCTTAGCTCTCTTCGAAACAATTTCGGGTCTACGAGTGAACTTACATAAGAGTTCCATGATGGTTGTTGGGGAGGTTGAGAATCCATCACGTTATGCAGACATTTTTGGATGTGAGTTGAGTTCTCTTCCGACTACCTACTTAGGATTGCCATTGGGTTCCAGAGCAGCTTCTTTGACAGTTTGGGAACCAGTGATTGAAAAAGTACAAGCTCGATTAGCTTCTTGGAAGGCCAGAATGCTATCTTTTGGCGGGAGGTTGGTGCTTTTGAAAAGTGTTCTTTCTAATCTCCCTATATACTTTCTTTCCCTCTTTAGGGCTCCGAGCTCAGTGATTGCTAGACTTGAGAAGATTTATAATGACTTTCTGTGGTCAGGGGTGTTTGAGACAAAACGATTGCATTGGGTGAAATGGGATATTGTAAAGACTCCAATTATTAGAGGCGGTTTGGGAGTCTTGGATCTTAGGTGTATGAATCGAGCTTTGTTGGGGAAATGGGCTTGGAGATTTGGGGTTGAGAGGGATGCATGGTGGAGGAGGTTGATTGTTGCAAAGTTTGGACAAGGTAGGTCCGAATGGAGACCATGTTGGAATTTGGGAGTGTATGGTTGTTCTGTGTGGCGGGCAATTGTTAACGAAAGCTCTTACTTTTGGAAGGTTGCCTATGTCGATCCTGGGGGTGGTTTTGGGGTGTCTTTTTGGCATGATTTTTGGGTTCCTGGGAAACTTTTGGTGAGTGATTTCCCAAGGGTTGGGTTCGTAGCCCAATCCTTGGATGCCTTTGTGTCTGACATGTTTTCTATGGTTGATAGGTCTTGGGAGATTCCTCTCACTATATCTCTGAGGGGTGGAGCTGAAGCTGAACGTGTTCTTTTGATGCAAACGTTGAATGCTCTTCCTCAACTTTGGATTACCACAGGGCCTGCACGTTTGGTTTGGCCTTTAGAGGCATCTATGGTCTTCTCGGTTCATTCTTTCGCTACAAACCTTATTGAGAGTAACTTTGGAGGTGACACTGCTTTCCCTTTCAAGTTGGTGTGGAATCCTTGTGTGCCCTCAAAAATATGTTGCTTCCTTTGGATGGTCTCTCATGAGAAGATTGCTACTGTGGATAACTTGAGAAAAAGAGGGATGATTCTTCCGAATTGGTGCTCTCTTTGCAAACAACATGAGGAATCGATTTCACATCTCTTTTTCTCATGTCCATTTGCAATTGCCATATGGGATAATTTCAAAAACGCTTTTGATCTTCATGGTCCTTACCTTCCTTTCATTCGCCAATTCCTCATTGCTTGGCGAGGCTTGTGGTGTGACCCACGGTTCAGAGACTGCATCAAGTTATTGCCCCATGCAGTGTGTTGGTACATCTGGTTGGAGAGAAATAATAGGATTTTCAGGGATGTGGAGTCCTCCCCAAAAGAGATTGGACATAAGATTGTTCTTATAGTTGGACGATGGTTACGAGCTTTTAGTCGCATCTCAGATAGACGCTTCCACCAGTGGATGGTGATCGGGACGAAGCACCTCATTTGACCCTCACGTTCTTTCTTCTTTTTTATTCTCGAGTTGGTTGTTTTTCTATTGCTTATTTTTATTTTTATTATTTTTTTTTCTCTTCATTGCTTGCTTGCTCTACTACTGGTTGAGCTGCTGACTTTTTATTTTTTACCTTTGTACTTTCATGAATTGGTTAGTTTCTTATAATATTCTCATCATTCATCAAAAAAATAATAGTAAAGTTAACAATTTAATTCATCAAATACGGATATGAAATGTGTTATACGGATTTTATACGTGTTTAGTACGAGATCAATCAAATCACGAAAAAAATGAAACGACTTGATAAAAACAGGGATACAAAAATTTTAAACAAATAAAATACGTACGAGTATATATAAGTATACCAAACCAAATATTTACTAACTATGCTTCTTACCCTACAGAAGAAAAACATTATCACAAACGCTGCCAACCGATTCACATGTTGAACTCTATCCAAATTCCAACTTCATCCAATCTTTGGTTCTCTCATCTTTGTAGTGTAGCCCTGGTAGCATGTTTGGGCCAGCGAGGAATATCTGCTATATAGACCCAAGCCAATCTATGACTTGGCGCTCCTCCCCAAGCCCCAACCAACAATGACCTCTTCTTCGCAGCCCATAAGCGGCGGCCCAGTTAGTGCTTTCCTTTGAAAAGTAAGGCCCAATCAATATGAAGCAGGCTATCATAACGGGCCAATTTACTGTTCTCCAAAACAGATTGTTGAGCAAGTTGCAAAACTATATGTTACTAAAACAAGGAACGATGGCTATTCGGTGGCTCGTCATGTTCTATTCTTGTCACCCCGTATGTTAGTGAGATTTGATTTAGTTTCACGATTAGAAGCATTGTAGCAAGATTAGGATTAAATAATAATCCACGGAACAGGCGAAGAGTGAATAGTGATTTGGTACTTTAGGGCAGTACTCCCACACAAATTTCCACCTCACTGGAAACAGGGACATGTGTTTGGGGGAAGGTTACTCACCCACTTTGATCATCATGTGACCTTTGCTGGAATTTTATTTTATTTGCAGGTTGATGAGGCCAGCCAGCCAGAGTCGTCTTTTGCACGTGACTAACTGCTATTTTACTGATTTCCTCGCGCCTTTTTCTTTATTTATGACTCGGCCACATACAAGAAGAATCCATCACCCCAAATCTTTGCATCTGTTCTTGTCTCCACGCTCCCCTCTTTTCTTTTTTCCTTTCCTATATGCTTTTATTTACTACCATGAACCAGTTGTCGCAGAAATCTCAGTTGCAATCGATAGATGCAGCAGGAAGCGTATGCTTCAGGTTACCCTGCCTCCACTATTGAATCCAATTATGTAAAGATACAAAGCTGGGGATAAAGAAGTAAGCAAAGGGCGCGCTTCTTCTTTGGTTAAGAAAAACAAGTGCAAACTCATGATGAGAGCATCTCACGAGGAGGATGTGGCATAATGAAGAATAAACTCTTACTTTCTCCAAGAAAGAAAAGTGTATGCAGAGTCCTAAATATTGTTTACACTAGGAGAAGAGAAAAATCATGCATTGAACCTGTTATTACAAAGACATGATGAATAGTCTCGTGTTCATCTTGATTGTACATTCTACTGATGAAAAATCAATATCTGTTAACAGTTTTCCAGCAATATTTTCATTGAGTGACCTGAGTAGTGACTACCATTTCTATGTTTAACAATCTCCAAATTCAGAAAATGAGGAAGTTGTCCCACGTTTTCTGAAACCTTGAATCACCCCGTTGACAACAATAATGGACTAGTTTTTTTTTTTTTTGGGATAATAACAATAATGGACTAGTTAACCAAGAACTCCAATTCAGTATTGCCCACATAACCTAGCAACTTTAAAACAAAATTTTGGATTGATAAAAGATAATAATTCAAGGGTTAGAATTTATATACGATCCACATTTTACCTATTTTCATACACATTATAAAAAAATGATACTATACGAGTAAGAGAGGGTATGTCCACAAGTAAGTAACCGAACTAATTAACAATGGCATTCATGTCTCGTTACCCATCACTTACCAATCATGATTTACTAATCAGAAAAATAGTAAGAAAGATAAGCTTCATGCATTGATTATATCTCTATTGGTTTCAATCAGTCAATTAATACTGCTCTCATATTCTAAATTACTGTATTCAGAGGACTTTTTAAAGTAAGAATCGATTCGAGAGTTTAGTTAAAGAAAGCATTCACGTGAGCACTTTCTAATGTCTCTCATATGGTGCACTTGTGTGCACTCATGATTGCACTCATCACTTGTTCTCTACCATTTCATCCCCTCTTCTTTGTTCGGTGCTTTTTTTTTTTAATTGGGGGACCCGAGTCCTTTTGTTTCAGCATTCTTGTGATCTTTTGTCACCTTTTTTTTCTTCTTCTTCTTCTTCTAAGTACAGTTTAACGACACTTTCAACTTTATTGTGTGTAAATGTGACCCATTGTGATATGTCCAGAAGGAAACATGAGAAATTAAAAGATCTGTCTTTAGATTAGAACTACTTGTGGCCAAACAAAACCGGGGGAAAGAAAGCAAGTTGTTCTTGTTGGAGTTTAGTTATGAACATTAGTGTCATTTCTTAAGGGCAAAAGCACTTTGAATGGTGACCGAAATGACATTGCAACTCGTATTGATTTTGATCTCATAATAACTATATTTCATTTGGTACAGCAGGATCTTGCGATTTTTCATTTCATTGTCTTAGGACTTGGTTAGGACTTAGGAGTAAGGTATTTTTTTCTAAAAATACAAGAATCATTATGGAAGTTCATCATCGTGCTCTATATAAATTCCTTGTGATCGATCGCAGTAATAAAAAATGATATATTTTATTGAATCGTAATTTATTAATATATCTGAACTCGACAGGCTCAAGTTTCAACTTTCATTACCCCAAAAAATCATGTAAAGGGTAGTACATATTAGTGGCCTAAAAGACTCCCATTCAAGAAAATGATCCTAGACTTGAACTTCTTACATTCGTTGATTGATTAATTGAATAATTGGGGTTGGTGATAGCGCATAATTAGGCTCTCTTGTCTTGTATCTTATTAACAATATTGTTTGGTGGAGAATCTTAGTTGATGATAGCTTAATCATACTCCTAGAAAGGTGTCTAGATCGATAAATATGTTTTAATTCCTTTAGGACCGAAAGCCGGTGGATGGTTACAGCTGAACTAACGGCATAATAGGCTTTTGGATCAATATATATCAACAAAGATAAAGCTTGAAAAGTAATTAAGCAAGCAATAATGACAATGATATTATGAAGGATGGATGAGAAGGATTAATGAATAAGGTCTCTCTCCATTGATTAATTAGTAGCCTCTGTAAAATTGAGATGCGTGGGATCATACGATACAATCAAAAGGGACCATGCACCTTAGTTGGTAAAACCTGCCCACGACCATATTTTCTTGCTGTTTCCAACATCATCATGGCTGCAACAGCAACAACACATGCTGTCAATCAACATCTTTTACGGTTCCCACTTCCACTTCTCTTAACTAAAGGGATCGATCATCCACAGTCTGTCTGTCTGTCTGTCTAGCTACCACAATTTCTGCTTCCTTGCTCTTCATCTTTCCTTTAGCTTCTTCATTAGCTACAGCTAGAAAACTTGAGTTTGTCAATCGTTGGAGTTTCGAGATCAGACAATTAGCCAATGTTGTGTGAAAGTGATTCCTCTATGGGGTATTATTGATTGTAATCTAGAACTTCATTATCATTTTTGTGTTAATTTAGTAAGGGTGTTTTCGACCTAATGACAACTGGGGTTACTAGATGATCATGATAGTTAAGACGTGCTATATGTCTGTCTTTTTACCCAAAAAAAAAAAAAAGAAGTACTCAATGATAGAGTTGGCAAACCAGCTTATCACCGATAAGATTACCGTTAATCGGTTCGAATTATGGTTGACTGGAAAATTATCTCAGACAAATTTAGCAACACCAATAATTATGAACCACCTTATTTACTAATTAAAGCCTAAGTGCCTTCATTAGAAAAGAAGAAGAAAACAATTGAGGCTAATTGCTAGCTAGCTGCTTTTGCTACGAAATGATTAAAGAGAATTTTTCTTTTTGAAAAAGCGATTAATAAAAAGAATTAGTGAAACATGTAAGGTGAGATTAATTAATGATGATAAATCTGATAAAGTCACATGAAAATCAGCAGGCTACGGTTGTAAAAAAAAGAGGGGGGGGGGGGGGGTTATTAATTAATAAATCAATGAAATGCTCATAATTGAATTATCGCCAAATTTGGACCTGCATTCTCTGAGTACTCACTCAGTACTTTTATTTCAAGTTCGACAATCTTCCGACGTTAATAAAAAAAAAAAATTACCATCAATTCCTGATCATAAATCAGTACTGTATATTGCAGAGAAATAATATATTAATTCCGTTTCGCCGCAGTTCTGACTTTCTGAGGCATGCTTGAAGTTGAAATTAAGGTTACGTGGATCGATTTTAATGCACTGGCTACTGGCATGAATTTAACCCGGCCGGCTGGGTACGTATGGGCGCTACATCAACAGACATGAAAATAAGCATGCAAGGAGTACAATGATACATACCCACATAAATGCTAGCTGCTCATAATTAAGTAACCCAAACTATATTATTTTTTTATGAATTCCAAGTATAGTTTTAAAAGAATAAAGAATAAGAGAAATAAACACAAACTTGGGCATAAAACTGCTATTAGAAAGATAATGTAACTCGATCTAACCATGGTTTAATTTGGCGTTGTGGTGTCTTTTTAATAATGTGGTCAAGAGTTCAATAGTGCCAAGCGCGAGTTGGTTGAGTTAATTGGATAATGGATAAGTCGGTTACGTGTTAATCTAATTAGAGAACAATCTTACAATTATATGATAAATCTTATGAAAGTTAGGTTGGCGAGTTATTTCGATTTACATGATTATTCGAGGGGGAAACAAGGTACAAAATGTGAAGGTCAATGGAGAGGTAATTCAAAACAAAGAAGAAATAAGACAAGCTCTGGTGATAAAAACACTGTCTCAAAAGAGAAATGGTATTAGTATTATTAGGATTATTATTGTTAAGATTAGTAACATTTGAGTCATTTTAGATTTATTTTTAGAAATTTTCAATTATGCATTAGAAATATATACTTTGAGTTTACATCATAAGCAATCAAGAAAATTTTCAAAAAAGTATTACTGTCAATCCTATTCCCTCGTCTCCCACTACCAACTGCCGCAGGCCGTTCAACTTCTTCCCTTCCTTGTTCTTCCCCAATTCTCCCCCAACACCCTTCTTCCAATCCCTGATTATCTCTCTAAATTCCTAAATCTCTAAATCTGATCTCTAGTCCCCAATTTCTAAATATCAAACCCGACTCAAGCATGCCCTTGATCACGAGGTTCTATCGCATCGTCAACCACACTTTGAAGAAAGAGTTAAAGAACATGCATACACCTACAATAACCTCAAATAGAAAGGACTACAGTAGAGTGTTAATAGATTCCCAAAACAAATCAGAACAGCTTGGATTGGAAGAGCACAAGAAAGGACCCTTAGTGCATCATCAGATCGAGACATGCATGCAACCCAAACACAAGTTTAAAAGTTTTATTGGTTGGGTTCTGGGAACAGATATTGAATGCGACACGGGAGCCTCTGAATCACACATGCCTTAGCTTGTTTGGTTTGTCACAGCACAAACTGGATTGACTTCTTGGCTGCCTTTTCAAACCACAGTATATATTGTTTGTGGGGTTTCTATGTTTTCTTATTTATGGAGAGGTGGGTCTTTTTTTACAGTACCAATAAACCAATCAACTCTAAAAGGGTTTAAAGGGTAATTGCCGTTGGCTGTTGTAATTTGGAATAATGCAAGGGTCGTTGGAAACTGCAGGGAGATTCTGGCCCATACATAATAATAGAATAGAAGTTGGATATCCAACACTTTTCTACTATAGTGCTTAAGTAATTAAGAGTACTTAACTATTGGAACTATAATATTCTTCCGGTCAATTAAAAAGGAGACGATTATGTAGAGACTGTAGTACCTTAGCTTTTTTCTAAGCTCTTCACCTCTCTCAAGGCAAGTCAAACACAAACCTCAACACTAGGATGCTTGCTCCAGAACCAAGATAAGTCAACCTTTAATTTCTTACATATATATGGTTGATTTCAGGAAATTCCAAACTAATTAAGTATTTGCATCTTATTGGGACGGGTGACTAAATTTTTATAGAGAAATGGAAAACCTCATTACCATAAGTATTACATTACAAATTAATTGATGTTGTTGATTAAGTGGTGTAGTAGTCATTAAAAAGCCGAGAGTTATATATTCATGAATCACCGACCTTCAAATGAGTTTTCTTTCCAATAAAAGAAAGTAATAGTGTTTCATATGAAGCACATGAGTTGTGTTTGATTCTAGCTAGAGTAATCAATTAAGTCAATAGAGTCTGATTCAACACTTACACATCGAGTGCAATGATGAAATGCAATTACAGGCTTTAGGAGAAAAATATATGCATATCTCCATGCAATGCACATAGCTAAACTCTATGAAATTTATAGTCCCAAAAAATAAGAAATAAAAGAAATTTCATAACTCATCGAAATTAAAAACCAATTAAATGATAATACCACTGATGTTGAACCTGGAGGTATAAGATAGTGAAAAGTAAATATATATCTCCCTTATTAGCTAATTGACTGCGGACTTGCAAGCTATAGCTAATCTAGCATTAGTACTGTTATGGGGTATTGATTGGCCCGACATGCATGGACCTACGAATTAATCCACAGGCAAATTAATGTTTGATGAGAGGAGAGTGCATTCAATTAGTGACCTGTTATGAAAAGAAATTACAGACAAGAAGGGTT